ATTAGAATTATGTTTAGAGTTTTATAGGTTTTAAAAAAGCTAATTTATATGAAATAAATAACAACGAAATGTAACAGCAAAAATATTTATTATTCAATCAAGACTACATATTTGTATGTGACATACAACATAGTACTTACATGTTAGTTTAATAACAGTTAATAATATAATCAAAAATCTAAATTCTCTGTAATGGTGGTAACGATTTCAGAAAAGTTCCCACGAGGATACATGCGTTCTGAAAGTACAAAGTATTATGTATTTTATAATCAAACGAATCAGGCCAATTCAACAGCAAATATATTGAGAACAATTATGTTTTTCACTTGCAAAAGATTGTTATTTCAAATTTTCGTAATTGAAGAGTAATAATGTAAAATTACGTAATACATTTAATTTTTGTATCAAAATTATATAATTTAAAGTTGTGTAATTAATAATACACTTTATTATTAAAATATATTTTCAATCGTTTTTGAACATTTTTCTCAACACGTTTATTAAATATTTTTCTATTATGTATTACTTATTATTTCCGCTTTTATTTGGACAGCAGTGTCAATGTTTAAATACTTTTGCATTTCCCGTTTTACAGAATGTATGATTTCAACTAATCCATCAAATGTTATGGTATCTTCATCTTGATTTTCTTGGACAAAACGTTTTACAAGTTCCTATTGTTATCGAAATAAACATAGACATTAAAATATGTATTAAAATTTACAATTAAAACATTTTAGTGGACACGTTAAAACGTAAGTTTAATTTTCTAAAACAGTAATTCACATTTTTCAAATAACAACAAAAAGCCTCAGAACATTCATAATCATAAATATTATGTATTTGTTTTACTTACAAGAATAAATTAAACCAATTTTACACAGAATAATTGAAAGTTTGGGTACTTCAAATACCTCCGCAAAAAAACACCTAACTAACCTTTAAACTGTAATATAGTAATCATTTTAGTTTATTATTTACCGTCGCTCCATCGTCACCAAATATAGATTGGGCGCAAGCTATAGCGTCGTCCTCCCTATATATAAAATCTGAAAGAACAAAATTTTGTGTAACAATATTTTTATTTTTAATTGTTAAAGCAACTCTATAAATCGCAAATTTAAACAAAGCATAGTAAAAAGAATTAAAGTAAGGTGCACTGTATACAAATGAGCAAGCGTTTAATTGAATGGTTTCTTTTCTGAGAGGACTAGTACTGTAGGGTCGAGGTATAATGGAATCAAAGTATAGAGTGGACGGAGAGAACCCAGCAATACAGGAAATATTATTAATATAAGTCGTGAAATCACTAACAAATGAACACTTTCATGCTAATTTGTAAGCACTGCACCTCACTTTAATTAATTTTTAGTATGCCGGTTTATACTGTGCTTGGTATGAACTTTACTGTTTGAAAATGCTAACTAATGATACACATCGAAGCGTTTATTCGAAAGGTAATTATTTAATTAGTTCACAATTTATGACGACAATTTACAGTTTTACAAATGATAGACTTGATTATTAAAAATTTATCTTTTCAATAAATTTGTACATTTTACTCAACACATTTGTTGAATATTATCCTGTTTTTTATTACCTGCTATTTTCTGTTCTAAATCAACACGACTGGAAAGTTCTCCAGTTGCATTTGTTGCATGTTTTACTTGGTTAAATAATCCTAAAAATTCTTCGTAGGTTGTGTTCTTCCTAATTTGATCGAAATAATTATCGACTATAGTTCTCATGTTATGCTATTGTTATAAGAATAAGAATTAGTCAATTGAATATTAAAATTTGCAAGTTATACTGATCCCTTTTTAACGAAAAAGAAAATGCCTAACTACTAGATATTTTATATGGCTTGCAAATATTTTCAGCATAGTAACATAAATTTCATAGTAGTTAAAGTTTTTTTTTTTGTTATTGTTATCAATAATTGGTTATAAGTGAAAATATTACTTAAAAAACTCTTTGGTGCAAAAATAGAAAAGGGAAAACATTAAATACATTTTCTACATTACATTACATTTTGTAAATAGTTTAGCAACAATCTCAGCATTTTTTATTTATCATAAATAATAAGTACTCATTATACTTACACGTTGTAGATCATCAGGTGGACCACCTTGACATTGCAAAAAATACAATGCCATGCAAAAAGACAGTATCACGGTTTTTGAAAACATTTTAAATATTCAAACAATTAACTAGGGTCCAGAATATTTAATTATTTATTTTTTAAGTAAAAACTGTTTTTTAAATATTCGATAATAGTTCTTATAACGATTTTATAATGTTATTGGAATATTGTATTATTGCTTGATACCCGCAGTACTTACTACAAGAAAATATACCAGAAGAATGAAAACAGTTTGAAACTATTTAATCGTGCAATTTGCTTTAAGAAACAGATACTTAAGAACGTTTTTATTTGCGTTGTATGGCATTCTGTTATTTTTTTAGGTATTTACCACATTTTAAAAATGTTTAAGTATGTGCAAAATATATGCATATATTGTCAACGTTTATTGATAGTGCCCCATCTAAAGAACATATCTAGAATGATCTAAAATGGAACAATAAAAAAATAAACAATTATCTTAAAAATCGATTGTTAATGTTTTGTCTAAGGAAACTGTGAAAAATAATCCTAATACCTAAAAAGAGTGGTCAGACATTTTTTTCCTTTGGACCGATTTACTTGAGTATCTTTTCTATATGACCGGAATGGTTTGCGTGGATCAAAAGTAGAAAAATCAATTTCTTCAACTCCAAAAACCAAAAAAAATTGCCGGTTTTTAGACTTTAAACTCACTAGAACATAGCAAACTTAGTGAAAAACAAAATACGAATTTTAAAGTTGTAAATTTTACTGGCTAAAATTTAGAGAAAAAGGGTAGGATTTTATTTGAAAGTGATTTTATTCACTTTCATCATTTGTATTTATAATAATTCCTGTAAACTCGAAACCTCTCCGTCCCTCTATGCTTTAATTCCATTGTGCCTATACTGTACTGTACTAGTCCTCACGGAAATCACATTCAAATTAAAGCTTAGATGCTTATTTTTAAATACAGCTCTTCAATTAAATATTTTTTAACTTTGCTGGTTTACACTGTGCTTGGTTTGGACTGGCTTAAAATTACCATCCACTGATTCGTTTTTTCAAATGTGATATCACTTTCAGATTTAAAAAATTTCGGTAAACCTGTGACCTCTCAGTCCTAACTATGCTCCGACTCCGCTCTATCCCCACTATGCCCCGAGTACTGGCTTTTTAGTTTTCCTTTTTAAAAACATTTATAAATAATTATTTTGGAAACGTATATGTCGAAAAACATTAAAATGAAAAATATATACATTATGTAACAAATGTCATTCAAACTATCTAGAATCATTGATATTAAAGCTTATGACATGAATGGCAATGTTATTTTTTTTTTTATACAAAAATAACAGAACTTTCATGATTTAAAAAAAAATACGTAAGGCTCATAAAAAATGTCGTTAGCAATAAACAATTTTAGTTAGCGTTGCATGAAATTATTGTCCAATATTTCAATTATTTCTGATATTTTTCGAAAACCATAAGTCAAAATGTTAAATTTATTATTACACCGACTTTTAGGTCAGAAAATCATTGATGAATAAGTTTCTTATTCAAAGCAACCCGTTCAAATAATAAATCACATTAGCACAAGATGGAGTTTGTGTTACCTATAAATAAAGGTGATTAAGCAACTCTCCCAAAAATACAAAACTTGGTCCTAATAAGAGTATGCTTATTAAAGGGGTTCAATAAAATTCTAGTTAAAATAAATATTTAACAAGTTGTTCTAAAAAAATATTTAATTGGGCCAACTAAAATAATCGTGTCCCTACATTAACCATAGCTTAAGTTGGACCAACTATATATTAGGGCGGTATACAAATCAATGGTAAAGATATATCAAATATATGTTTTATGATGTATACAGATGATTCATTAAGCATAAGACACTTTTTAAAAAAAAATTATTCTAATTTTTAGTTTCCTTTTTAAAAACATTTGTAAATACTAAATTTGGAAACTTATGTGTCAAAAAAATATTCAAATGAATATAATATTATCCATTATTTAACAAATGTTATTCAAACTATATAGAAACAGGGTTTTTAAAGTATGACGCAAATGGCAATGTTATTTTGAAAAAAATAACACATAATATTTATGGATCACGTAAGGCTGATAAAACAACTCGTTAGAAATAAACAATTTTTACTAGCATTTCATGAAATTATTGTCCAATATTTCGATTATTTCTGATATTTTTCGAACACAATTAGTCAAAATGTTAAGTATATTATTTATCCTATAAATTAAGGTGAATAAGTTACTCCCTAAAAAATACAAAATTGGTTTTAATAAAATAGTATCGTATTTACATTATTAATTTTTTAATGAAGAAAAATATGCTGAACATTTTGAGTTTTGGATAATTTGTTAAGTTAAGTTATGACGCGAGGGAAAGGGCGGTTGAGTAATGCGCGCAGATAAAAACATCTTTTAAATAGCTGATGGTAGGTAAACCCTTATTGTTATTAGTGATAGGTTATGAGCCTTTCATGTATAATATAATTTATTCATTTTCTAGTTAAATAAAATATAAAATGTTATATTTTATTAGTTATTATTAAAGAAATCGACATTTAGCGGTTTTTTTAAAGTATTCTTTAAAAAATAAATTGATATTTATTTATAGAGATAATTTAAGCTTGTCATTTATGACAATTTTTTTATCTAAGTTTTTTTAATGACTGATAGAATGTGATTTTATACTTTGGTGTTTCTGGGTTGGTCACGCTGATAAAATAAAAATTGTGTTATCTTTTGGAAGAACTCTTATCTCTTATCATTTTTTGGAAGAACTGCCCTAAACACTGTTGGAAGAACTACCCCCAATTCCTTGAGTGATAATATATAACTCTTATCTGTAATACTATGATAACCGTAACCCAGATGTTCCGTCTAAACTGTAATGGATTTTGTATCATTATCTTTTCTACGACACGTGCTTCATATTTATAAATTACACATAATATTTATGTTTTTGAAAATATAAGATTAATATTTATTTTCTATTTAACTTAAGCTGTTGTTGTAAGTGTTCAACTTTAGTATGGGATACCAAAAAGCTAGTACGTATAAAATAAAATATAAAATATTTTAATATTAAGGATTTAATGGTTATTACACTAACTAATATTTTTTACAGACAAAACCAAAAATCGAAGAGCTTTATCGAAGTGGAAGCAAGGTAATTACTATATACATATTATAGCTGTTTACAGGCGAAGATGTGAAGTGTACATCCCAAAACAATTTGAGTTAGTAAATAATGATGAATTATGTACGCTGAATGCTGATTTGTTATACAATGAAACTTATCCTAGACTGAATTAAACCAAAAAACTATCTTAGAGAAATTTTGTGTATCGTACTGTGAAAAACACTTTGTATATTTTATTAAATAAGAAAGCTAAAACTATTTAATACGGATTTTTTTTGATGTGGTGTAATTTTATCTTAGCCCGTCGTTGGTAAACATGTGAGCGCTGCACTCGCACAGATAGCATTTTGAACGCCAGTCTTACAAATGTTTGTTAATTGGCTTGATTCTTTGTTTACCTTCAAATAATAAGTTAACAAATAATTATAAAAATAAAAGAAGCTGTTAACTATATTTCTTCGGGAGTTATCAGTGAATAAAGTTGACTGTACCGATAAAGTTAGCGCTCGCAGTTTATCAACTGTATTTTACATATTATTGTGTATCCTGTAGTAACATAATGATCTCCTCAGAAAGTGACTCGGTTAATTATTTTAAATAGTTTATAATTATTAAATTTACATTTTAGGGTATTTTACATTTATTTCATTAATTTTTATTATTTTGCACTATATAATTAGAAAAATAAATAAAATTGCAGTTTTTAATTTTTATTTATTTTTTAATAATAGAAATTTCAAAAAATATACTACCAAGTGGTAGTGAGTAAAAAGATACTTATATCTATGTATGATTCAATGTTCTGAGTTTATTGAGTAATCGAGCGCAGGGCTCACAGTTTAGCAATCGTGTTCCGTAATATAGGTTTACCAACGATGGGTTAGACCTGTTTACTGTTTACAAATAAAACAATAAGGTTTAAAATGGTATACAAATAAAAGTATATTTTTCCCAGACAGCAAACATTTTTTAATGTTTTTAAAACAATATTGGTCTGGAGTTCAAAAATGTTATTATAACATTGCCATGTAGGATATATTTCCATAATATTTTATCATATTCACTTCAAATGATGCCAAAACGTCATTGGCACCTTTTTTTTATGTACTATAACTTAGTCAACGTTATACTGTTTCTTGTCAGAGTTATCTATTAATTTTAACATATGTGCAAGTCATATATATCCTAACATCATCCACAATGAATGTATTAACAAAAATGTGTAAATAGAATATTATTAAAAACATGTATTTTTTAACAACAGTTTGAAAAGTAGTTCAGTTATTTCTGTTTGTGTTTAATATCTAAACTATATAACTAAATTATTTTTTCAGAAAAAAAAAAAAAAGCTCTAACTTCTGCTGCTGAAAGTAAAAAAATTATCGAACAACAAAAAGTAGAACCGAAAGCAGAACCGTTGTCATTAACAGAAACGTTGGCTGAGTTTGTTAAAAAAACTGAATCCAAACAAGCTAATTTCATTGAAAGTGAAGAAACTGAAGAGTCTGGTTACAAAAATGTTGTTAAATTAGATAATAAGACTTTCAAAGATGAATTTAGAAAAGTAATTAATTTTATTTATTGTTTTCGTTTTTATAAGTAATTGAAAAATGTACTCAAACTTAGGTGGTTAACGCTGCTGATGTAGTTTTGGAGGTTGTAGATGCCAGGGACCCACTCGGTACACGTTGTGGCCGTGTTATGGAATCCACCCAAGAATTAGGAAAAAAACTTGTTGTGGTGATGAACAAAACTGATTTGGTGCCCGCTGAAGTAGTACGAAATTGGTTATCCTACTTCAGAAAACATATGGGCATACCAGCTTTACCGTTTAAAGCTAGTACTCAACAAGCCGGTTCTAAAATTGGCCACAGAAAAATGAACAAATGTAAAAAGGATGCTGAAAAAGCTATAAGCCTTTGTGTTGGTGCAGAACTTGTAATGACCCTTTTAGCCAATTATTGCCGTAGTGACAAAATGAAAACGTCAATCGTTGTTGGTGTTGTAGGTGAGCCATAAATTATATAATATTCAATATTAATTTACAAGTTTTATAAACATAATTTAATGTTTAATATGATAATTTGTATAATCTTAAAATCACATAGGTATGCCAAATGTTGGTAAAAGCAGTTTAATTAATAGTTTGAAGAGAGCTAGGGCATGTCAAGTCGGTGCTGTTCCTGGTGTGACAAAGTATTAAAATATATTTAAGTGCATTTAATTTGTTTTACACTAAAATACTAATATTTATTCTATTCCAAGGAACATGCAAGAAATTCAACTGGATAAACATATCAAATTATTGGACTGTCCTGGAGTGGTTTTAGATAGAGCGTCTACCACAGACAGTGTAGCATTAAAAAATGTTGTTAGTTCTGGAAATATCGAGGACCCTATCACCTGTGCTTCCACCATTGTAGGACGTGTAACGAAAGATCAGGTAAATTACCATTGTTATTTTTTAAATAATATAAATACATGTAATCTGTGTTAACTGGTGACTGGTCCATTAAGATCAGCGCATCTCCTATTATGATGCACATGCACAGGATGGGTTGATGTTTGTTGTTGGAGAGGCTGATAAATGATTAGTAATACATAATATTTGTTATGCTATGTTATAGATGCTGAAGTTGTATGGAATTGGCAAGTACGATTCTTGTGAACATTTTTTGTACTTAAAAGCAAGAAGATTTGGAAATATTGGCCGCGGTGGTATCCCTGATATTTTTACATCGGCACGAAGCTTAGTTGAAGACTGGAATCGGTCAGCAAATAAAATAAATATATATTAATAACAAGTCTAAATTTAATCAATTTCATTGTAGGAATTTGATGAAAATTATATACTCGTATTACTTGTAATAATATAATGTCTTCTATAATCAAGAGTTCAGATAAAGATTTGAGCAAAATTAACATATCATTTTCGAACTTGAAAAATTTTTAAATATTTTTTCTGATTTCTGAACCAATCAATTTTTAAAATAAATAAAAAGTTTTAAAAAAATGTTTTTGTGTAAAATGGTTGTTTGGTTCTAAATATATTGTAATATATCAAGGAAACATTTCATTTTGTTAGTTAGTAATAGTGTGACTTTTGCTCAAAACTTTATTCAGACCCCTGCTAATAATACATACTTAATTTATGTGAATTTTCTAGAGGTAAAATTAGATACCACACCTTACCGCCAGAGAGCCATTCAGTACATTTGAGTGCTAAAATTGTTGGAGGCGATTCTGATGTTTTCAATTTAGAAAACATACAACGAGTCGAAACTGAATTTATGGAGGAACTTGAAAAACTTCAACCAAACATATCGTGTGAAGGAATTGAAACGGAAAAGATGGATGTAGATGGAAAAGAAATGGTAATTGTGGATGATGTACCAGCTAAAAAATCTGGAAAACTTCGTTGGAGAAAAAAGAAGAAATCCGAACAACTAGATACTAAAATTAATATACAACCTGGAGTGTTAAGATTAAAAAAACTCCAAAAGACAAATGCAAAAAAACAACGAAAAGTAGCAGCTAGATTAATAAAATGTGAAGAAAAATTAATGAACATTGATTTGTAAATAAATGAAATTCAGTTTTTAAATGTTTTAATTTATTTCAAGTTTCGACCAAGCTGTGCTAAGTAGTATGTTGGTGGCCGAGTATCTAGTTTGATCAGTTTTTTCTAACCCATCAACGACAAGTAACAATTTTAATCAAATATATTCTTAATGTTGATTGGTTAAAAAAGCACTGGGCTTTGACCAATTCTGAAATTAAAGTCATTACCATAATTCTTTAATCACTTGTAATTTAAATTACTCAAAATGCAAAATATTTACAAATATGTATGAAAACTAACATTTTAATTAAGTCGTTAAAGTGTATAAGCTATCAAATATTTATGATTTGAGATTTTCTATTGTTATTATTATATAACCCATAATTAGTCCATTAAATGTATTAATTTGTTGTGCTACCCTAAAGTTTATTCAAAACGCCTACATTTTGGGTTAACATTGATCCAGTCATACACAAACATGAACATGTTCATCAAATAAAAATGTAATACATTAATTTAAATAGTTAGGTAAGTTTTTTGTTGTAGCTGATGCCTAGTTTGCCTAAAATAATTTCAATTTTATGTATTGGAAAGGCTAGGTGAAATATTGACCTATTGATAAACAGCATAGATTCTGTAAAGGTAAATCAATAGGCAGGCAACAAAGTCTACTGGTTAATAATATACGAAAGCTTTTAATTTAAGGTTTGCATTTTTGTTTTTTAGTATAACCCATTTTTATCTAGGCTCAGTTATGATGAGAAAAAAATTGTAATTTATCCTAAAGAAATGACTGTGATAGTCTGATAAAAAAAATAACCAATAAAGAATCCTCATTACTGTATTAATAAGTATATTTTATAGTTCAAGCTTTAAATTAATATTTTTTCCAAAAATTAACTTTACTTTATCTTCATTCTTCATTCCTTACTAAATAATAAACTACTATACTTTCTCGTTTCTACCCCTAGCGAGTGTTAACTTTAAATAAATAAAAGCATCACTAACGTTTAATTGAGATAAAAATTTAATAATAATATGTTTCATTCAAAATTTTCAAATAATAACGCATTCCGAATTCAAATAAATTAGAAATAACAATATTACTTAAATAATATTATTAATAGTTTATTTGAAGAAAAAAAACGATTATTTTTCAATCGAATATAATTGTTTATTTAAATTTGTAAATCATAATCATTTAATTATAATGTTATTTATTATTCAATAAATTAATGCCAAAGTAATATTTTTGTGAATTATTTGATACACCTATATTGGTTAAAAAAATTAAAAGTTAAATTTTGTTTTTTTTTCTAAATGAAAACATTTTATTTGTACCCTTTTGGTTTTTCATTTTCGCCATTTTATAGTGACAATTATTGTAATAATTAATAGCATGCGATTTAAATATTAACATATAGTATTAAAGAATCGCTCAACGATCATTTCATGTCGTGGAACAGATTGTCAGTCTATCTATTATACGGTCGGTGAATGTTTTCAGTATAAATATTATTACCCACGGTTTGGCCGGCGTCAGTAGTACGAAAAGTGCAATTCGTCATTTATTTAGTAAAACCCTAACCTATAATTTTGTATTCTCTTGTCCGTTCGTGCACGGCATAAGTTGCAACTCGCAATTACTGTAATAGGTTCGTTTATTTTTAAAGATAATTTTTTTGTTAGAAGTTTATAGTAAAGTTTTTAACATATAGTTGAACAAACGACGAAATCGGCCATGTCTTTCATACCCGGTTCATTGGGTTTCGATGAATTCGGCACGCCATTCATCATCATTAAAGATCAGCACAAGCAACGAAGATTAACCGGAATCGATGCATTGAAGGTTTGCTAAATACTCAAAAAATAATTATTAAAATTCAAAATTAAAACTTGTACATTTGCACGGTACTCGGTTAAAATTTAAGTACAGCTAATGTAATTGTTGTTAGGTGGTTAATATCTGGTGTAAATTTGCAACATTACAAACTTTCCTACTTGATACCACATGTATTAAAAACCATGTTTTAAATGGGTTTCCATTAGGTTTTAATATAGTAGTGTCATCGCAAATAATGTTATATAAGTTAAATAACTTGAAACTACAATTTTTTTTTTTTTTTTTTTTTTTTTTTATTTAGTCTCATATTATGGCAGCACGATCTGTCGCTAAGACATTAGTTACTTCTCTAGGGCCTAAAGGCTTAGATAAGATGATGGTGTCTTCAGATGGAGAAGTGACCGTTACTAACGATGGTGCTACTATATTGAACATGATGGACGTTGATCATGAAATCGCCAAATTAATGGTACAACTTTCACAGTCGCAAGACAATGAAATCGGAGATGGAACTACTGGCGTAGTCGGTGAGTAATAAATATATCTCATTTAGTTAAACTATTATTAAAATAAACATATGTTTTTAGTCATTGCTGGTGCATTACTTGAACAAGCTGAACATCTGCTAGATCAGGGTATTCATCCGATTAGAATTGCTGATGGTTTTGAGTTAGCTGCTCAGAGTGCATGCAAACATTTAGATTCTATTGCTGATTCATTCCCCGTTGACATCAATAATTTAGAACCTCTTATCAAGACAGCTATGACAACTCTAGGATCAAAGATGTAAGATTTAGATTCAGGGTTTGAATTGAAACGTTATAATGAATTTTGTTTTGGTTATGAAATTATTTCTGTAACGAAAAGAATTGACATAATATTATAACTTAAGCCCTGATTATATTATTATTAATGCATACTATATTATTTATAAAAATATAATACCCAAGGAAAATTTAAAAAAAAAACCTTAAATTTTTTCAAAGTTGGAACCTTTATGTAGTCAGATTATGTTAAAAAGTAGTGTATTTATTTTTGTATAATATTAAATACTTAAAAAACTAGGTTAGTTAAGATCCATTGAAAATAAATATTACCTTTTTTTTCTAATCTTACTATGTTTTTGTATGGCGAAAGCATGGTTTTTTTAAATGTAGAATGTGAGTTGTTGTTAAATACTTTGTTGCCAAATTATAGTTTGTATTATTTATTGTTATCAGAGTAAATAAATGTCATCGCCAAATGGCTGAAATTGCTGTCAACGCTGTCATTTCTGTGGCAGATTTTGAAAAGCGTGATGTCAACTTTGAGTTAATTAAAGTTCAAGGAAAGGAAGGTGGAAGATTAGAGGACACAATACTAGTGAAAGGAGTAGTTGTTGACAAAGACTTTTCACATCCCCAAATGCCCAAAGTAAGAGTAAAAATACTTTAATAATAGTCATCAGTATTTAATGTTTGATGAATTTTAGGAACTAAAAGATGTTTATTTGGCTATCCTCACCTGCCCGTTTGAACCCCCCAAGCCCAAGACTAAACATAAGTTAGATGTGTCTTCTGTTGAAGATTACAGAGCGCTTCGTAAATATGAACAAGACACATTCAATGAAATGGTGAAACAAGTTAAAGATGCCGGTGCTACATTAGCCATCTGTCAATGGGGTTTTGACGATGAAGCCAACCATTTGTTACTTCAGCACGAATTGCCTGCTGTACGCTGGGTCGGCGGTCCTGAGATTGAAGTAAGCTATTATTCAAAATTGTAATTGAAATTTAACTTAAATTAATAGGAGTAACATTAACATTAAAAAAAATATGATATTGAACTATATTATATTAATTTATAAATTATTATATATATATTTAAATTATAGTAATTTTTTGGTAATATAGTTGATTGCTATTGCCACTGGAGGCAGAATTATTCCTCGTTTTGAAGAAGTATCCAAGGAAAAACTTGGATACGCTGGAAAAGTTCGGGAACTTTCATTTGGTACTACTAAAGACAGAATGTTGGTTATCGAAGAGTGCAAGAATTCTAGAGCCGTCACCATCTTTATACGTGGTGGAAATAAAATGGTTAGTTCACTATAAGTATTTGAGTCAATCTCGTTTATTAATTTTGTTATTATCCTATTAGATAATCGAAGAAGCCAAACGTAGTATTCATGATGCTTTATGTGTTGTTCGCAACTTGGTACAAGACAATCGCATTGTTTACGGAGGTGGTGCAGCAGAAATTTCCTGCGCTATTGCAATTTCTTCAGAAGCCGATAAGATTTCCTCTATCGAACAATATGCATACCGTGCCTTTGCAGATGCATTAGAAAGCGTTCCATTAGCATTGGCCGAGAACAGTGGATTATCTCCAATCGATACTCTAACTCAAGTGAGGGCCAGGCAGATCAAAGAAAATAATCCAGCTTTAGGAATCGATTGTATGCTTATTGGAACCAATGGTAATTATTTTAAGTATGATACATAAAAATAGTAATTAATATAACTACTGGTTTATTTAGACATGAAAGAACAAAATGTTATTGAAACCCTCCACAGCAAGAAACAGCAAATCATTCTGGCTGCACAGTTAGTAAAGATGGTACTAAAAATCGATGATGTGAGAGTTCCGGGAGAAAATTATGAATAATACTTTAAACAAAAAAAAAAAATCGATTGCACTTATTTGTTTTCCTAAAAAACAGTCCTTTTTTTATGTATTTTTAATTTACATGTGTTGTGTAAATTGAAATATTTTTTCTAATAATAAATTAAAATACTAATAAATTAAAATTGGACGTATAATTTCAATTTAAAAAAATCTATAATACTAACATCATGATGTTGTATCATAATATAATAATAGAACAACGAGGTTTATTGAATTACGCAAAACGGTATTTTTCGTTCTTTAGTGTCAAACTCATCGTTGCCTTCTTTAACGCCTTCGACATTCATGCCAGTGCCCCCCAATACACCCGGGGGGCACACTGTTTGTCATCTCATTGCCAGTGTAGACACCATCGGTGGTCGTACGGGTTTGTTGTCAAGTATACGTTCTAGTTCAGCCATTACAGTTGAATTGAGTTTTGGCAACAACTAAACACAAATTAAATTCAAATTGTATTGTAATCAATTAAAATTCTTATTATACTAATATCATATTTGTAATAAATATATAATTTTAAATAACAAATTTTTTCATAATTTCTTCCTTTACCTGAAGTCCATGTAAAGCATGGTAGAACTGATGTGTTGTTGCCGCACCCAATAACAGACATTGTACGCTCTCGTTTTTCAATGTCCACGCTATGCTTAATTGGACCAGACTACAGCCCAGGCGTTCGGCTATCAACGAAATTGAACACATTATTTCTTTTGTGCTTCTAGAAGACGTAGTTTGTTCCTAAAACAACAATAATGTCACAAATTATTGCCCAATAAAAAATAAATGCCTCCTTAGTTTACTTCTTTGTTAGCTGGAGGTTTGCGGTCGTCTTGGCTCCAGCTAATGCTCAACGATTTGGCCTAAAACAACAGTTATTAATAATTAATATAGTATTTTATACAATTCAAATTTTGGAATTATGGTGTTAAAATGTACTTACCCTATTAGCATTAGTGCGGTGTCTGAGCGAATCTTTCAAGGATGGCATGAGACCCATGGCCATTGGCGACCAAGCCATCAAACCAACCCCTGTAATGCATTGATGAAAACGATTCATATTATTCTTCCTTTAAGGAGTTTTTCGAAACTTGACAGTACATGGGCTCGATGTAAATTGCACATTTAGTCTTTAGGAAAAGCCAGTACAATGGAGTCGGGGAGGTTTACAGGAATTATAACTTACGCTTGCGTAAAGTGCGCTTATTAAAAATTATTGTTGGTCTCTCTATAATAATTTTTCCTATTATTTCATTCTAGCCTTCTGCCTACGTAGCATTATAGCTTATTCGCAACATGCCCCCCCCCTATAGAAATCCGCTACCGATGGCTCCCTGGCAACTGGTAAGTTTCTACTAAAATCCTTCTCAACTTCTAATTTCCAAATCTATAAACTATCCACCGATGTCAAATCCTGGCGTTATGTTTCCAAATCACCCCTTATGGTTTCCTCGGTTTCTCTCTCCATCTTCTATAGCACCTCTTGTATATAAAACATAATCGAGATTACTGTTCTTAGATTTCCCATTCAATTCACTCTCCTTTAATACTATTGAAATCTCCAACACAAGTTTTCTCGGTCTTCGTGTTAAAAACCTCCGTTCTCTACCTCCAACAGCTGTTGTTAACAATCTCTTTTCTTATTTTCCCAATACATGTCTTACATAAACTAAAGGTTCGGTATCAGCCAACTCAGCGGGCTGTTCTTTTTTCATTCCTGACAAATTTAGTCTTTTTAGCAAAATTACACCCATCTTATTCATCTTTCACAAAGTAAAGTCATGTTATTATTCAAGTACTTATTTTTATCTCATCAGCTCTCCTCTACAGACTATCTCATCTTCTTTATTTTTTCTATTTACTATCAAAATAAGTCAGTCCTATTTAATTGGTCCCCAGGCCACGCTGATATCACTCGCTGGTAACGAGGTTGCCGATCAATTCTTTAGTTCAACTTCACTCCATCTAACATCGTCTATTATCAACATACTTTTCACCGACTTCCTTCGCTTTTTCCTATAGACAAGAAAAAATAGTCTAAAGTTAACCTCTTTTCCCAGCCTTTTAATTTAACTATTTTGTTAAAATTACTTTTATTTTTGTGATTATTGTCTTCTTCTACATTGTTAATTTATATAGTTTTAAAGTTTAACAACCATTATTATTTAAAAATAAAAATGTAACTTTTATTTTTGTTCGTATGTATTTGTAATAATTTACATATACTCATAATAATTTTTGAGCTAATTACTTTATAATAAAGCCTATAAAAAAGCATAAATTAAAAAACAACACCTTCTCAGCTATAGATATAGGAGGTACATATAATAAAAGTATTTTTTCGAAATGTGTCGAATAACATACTACGGATACCAGCTATTAATAAACTAGTTGGAAAAAAAGTATTATCAATTTTTTTTTAAATAATTTATTATGTTATAAAAATATTCTCTAATGAATTTTTGACCCAAATTTAAGACAAATTTCTAGCTCAAAAATATATTTTTTTGCCTGATAAGCAAAACAATGTACATTTTCCCTTCTACCTTTAGGCTACAACCAGTTTTAATTATTACCATATCACAAAGTTATTGTCAGTACTATAATTCTTTAATTACACATACCGATTTTGTTATAAAGTTCGGGCATGTAGATCTCCACTTTTTCTCTGCATAACATGTGGTATTCGGATTGTTCCAGGATAGGCGTTGGGCAGTTGAGCTGTCGGCAGGCCGTGTACATTTCGGTGACGTCTATAGGCGACCACCTTGCCGTGCCCCAATACATGATCAACCCTTCGGACACCAAGAAGTCGATAGCTCTTACCACTTCTGCAACGTGATTTTTAATTATATTATTTAATTATATTATTATTTACAATTCATGAGACAACTTTGGACTCTCGTAACACATTACCTTCCAAAGGACACATAGGATCGGCCTTCTGGATTAATACTATGTCCACGTAGTCCAGTTGTAGACGGGCCACGGACGACCTGACCGATTCTATAATGTGCTTGCGGGACAACCCTCGTTCTTCAGACCTGTACGAATTAAGATAAACATTATGAATATGTTTTATTTTGTAAACTATAATTTTACTCTACGCAGCATTTTGTACAGTTAAATTATTACTTATTGTTTTTACTCCTTGGGTATTAACGAATTTAACAAGTAAGGTAAAATATGTGTTAAGGGGTAATTGAAAACAAGGCTGGCGTTAAACAGCAAAATATCAATAACATAACGCTAAAAATCTTAAAGCGAATTTTAAGCAAAGTGTAGACAATATTTGACAAATATTGTTCTATGAAAATGTTAATTATGCCAATTTTTTAAAGAAATTTCAAATATTTGTTTGTACGTATTCATGTTTAAAAGACTTTTTTTACTGGCGTTTGGCAGTAGCAGTTAAAAAAAAAATGAATTTCGTCTTTTTACATTGAAAAGATGAAAAGTGTTTTTAAGGCATTACGATTTCTGATTATTTTTATAATAATCAACTTATAAAATGTTGTCGCTAATTATGAAACATCATATTTTAATCGAACTTTACAGACTGACTGACAGTAAAATAAAATTGTTATAGGGTTCGTAGCGTCCTTTAACAATATATTAAACTTCCTATGCAAAAATACCGTTTTAACGTATTTCAAAATTCCAACCGTGTGAGTTTTTCTTGACCGACAATGCTAATCTGTACTCACTTGTATTGCCAGTGTATTTTCGTGATCAAGCTGTACGACACTCGTTTCCAGTTTTTCTTCCTGAGTATGTTGCCTAACTGGATCTCGGCCTGTTCGCTGTTTTGTGGTCCTTCAGTCAGATCGAACAGGTTGATGCCGGCATTGTACGCGGCTGTCACGACCGCGTCCAGCTGTTCTTCGCTGGACGTCGTGTTGAACGTAGACCACGTGGTCAGTCCAATGTTAGACACCCGCAGACCGCTCTTACCCAAGTTTCGGTATCGCAAACCGGACGTCTGGCTCGGAGACTGTGTGGAACAGGCGCGGTCCGCTGAATCTTTGCTGGCCGCCGCTTGTAGTTTGGCGCACAGCTGTTCCGTGGTACTGCCCAAGTCGGCCATACAGTCCAAGCTGGCTATGGGCGCCTTGCATCTGTGAGGCAACATACGAAGTGTACCGGTTTACTGGCAATTCGTTTTATTTATTACATGCATTAAAAAATATTAACAAAAAATGTATCATAAAATAAAACGTTAATTTAACGTGGTTGTTGCCCCCTTTATTGTATAGTATATATTGTTAAAAGAAAAATTTAGTTGGTTGGTCGCTAAATAGAATAAATCAATACCAGCCAAAATCTTTTAAGTCACTATCGTCTATCAAGTCTAAAATAACCGATTAAACATAAGTCAAAACCGCAGAGAGCAAACATTTTATGTAGTATGTATACGCGTCAACGTGTATAATATATATATATATATATATATATGGGTCAAACCGCTAAATATGAACGATCTTTTGGAGCACCCCCCCCCCACCCCAACGGAACTTTATAAGATATTGAGTGGTTCACGATAAAATGATCACCCTGTATAAATATATATATAGGTATAATATTGGCCGATGGGCGTGAGACTTGCGTCATGGAGAGAACAATGCAGTAGCATACTGTACTAGCATTAACCTATATATTAGTGACTGCATTAGGATGTTAATCGACCGCAATACGCTGAGCGAACAGTATCATAAAAAGTAATTTACCGTTTAAATATGTTTAAACACAGTAGGTACTTTAAATAAAACAAAACAATGTGCCAAAATGGTTATGCCCAAGTGGCAAGTTGTCTACTACTTATTCCGTTTACGCGTTAATCACAGTATTGACTACAAAGACTTTGCGTGGTCTGTAATGATATTTGCCAATAATAATCACAGATTGAAGTGACCTACAATAAGTTACCTACAAATGTAGTCTGTAGATAATTTATAAATAGTAAATATTAGCTAGTGTTAATAAACACTATTAACGTTTTCTATGTTTAAATATTGACCAGTGAAATTACCCGGAAGAACAACTTATTAGCCACGATGGTAACAGTCGTGACTGCTATGCAAAAGACAAGCGAAAGGAAGCGCTGGGTTTAGTACTGAGTAGGCAAAACAATAGGCAAGTATTAACTATAAGCTATTTATAGACAAATCGATGGCCTTTGCCCTATATAAGAAGTAATGTGATGAACAGTTCTCCTTTAACAGCGTTATACCATGACATCCGATTAAAAAAGTTGCAGTCATTACTATTTACTCATCTTGAAAAATAAAGTAACATAATTACTTTTTACAAACTTTTTCTTTAATACTATATTATGACAGTTGTATTGTAAATTAAACTGTTCCCAAATGAAAAAGCTAACAACATTACTTACAAAACTAAAAATACCATTTGTAAAAAAATCTTTACGTTGAAATAAATTATAAATATCTTATATTCTTCATTAAAATCTCAAGACAAGGTTTGTTCTGTGATATCATAAGTCAAATAATACATGATTGCTCTTTTTAGACACTGAGGGTTATTATCACGACATCAGACCATCCAACTCATGTGAGTTGGATGGTTTCCCAGTACGATTTTTTCTGTTGATTGCTAAGTCAATTAAATGAATACAATCATAATACGTGTCTTCCGTAACTGTCACGTGTTTAGTAAATTGGAATAATAATTATTGGTTTTTGGATGAACGCGGCCGTGGCGAGTAAAAAAGGTTAGATGAGGGGGTGTTATTGATTTCTTGTTGCGCCGTAGACTGCTCGACGCCTTTAGAGTGCGTTCACGACCGTTAAGAACGACTTTTTTCTTGGGCTCATCTGGGCCGTTTCTTACCTGTAAATAGAAGTTTGTTGTGAATCGTCTTTGCTCGACGACCCACCGCCGCTTCTCTGTGGTCCACCACCGCCTCCACCGTCATTAACAGGAAATTGAAATAACATTTTATCGTTATCGCTCGATGCGAACCGAATGAATTTTAGACGAGATGAGAAGAAGAGGAAGAAAAAAAAATTCGGCAAATATAATTCGTTAAAAAAAAGGCGATTTTTATCTTTCGATTTTTTGTTGTTTTGTTACCGTTATTGGTACGTGAAGACACGCGTGCGCGTGTCGCGTCCCTTATGCGTATGCGACGGCATCGGCCGGTATGCGGAAAATCCGACCGCCGCGCCTTGTTTTCGTTTGTCATCGAGCGCGCCTGAGCGCCACCCGGGGTATAGCTGTATGCAGCTTTGTGGCACGCGAATTGATCGGCGCGAAACGGAGACGATCGAGCCTTCGGCGACCGCGGCCGATCAACGGCCGTAAAAGTAATAAGGCGCACCTCGACACGGCCACATGACACCCGCATAACTAGGCCGGTTGTAAACAGTAGTCCCCAATATACACCCTCTCCGGTCTGCACTAAGACATGTAATATTATTATAAAAATATAAACGCTAAATATAAAAATATATACGCTAAATATAAAAATATATACGCTTACACATCGAATAATTATAACAATAATAATAAATAAATAAATAATAACGATAGTAAGAATTCGGTCAAATAATGATTATTGGTGCGCTCACATAGATTGTACTGATCCGGACAGGCTGTCGGCATAGTGGAGTTGATCGGCCATCGACTCGGACGCGGCCGCCGACGCGGCTTGAGCCTGTATTTCCCTTTCAAGTCTCTCGGCGTTGCGTTCGGCCCGCTCGGCCCTCTGGTGGGCCCACTGCTGTTGTGTATACAGCTCGTGCCGGGCCGCCGCCTCGGCCATCTCCTTCTTCTCCTTCTTTTCCTCGTCCGTTTGCGCGCGGCACGAGCCCGAGCCCGAACCCCAACCGAGCCAAAACTGATGGGCCAGCTTGGTAAGTTCGATCACTCCGCGCGCCGCTGACCTTTACGGTGTGTCTATATGCGAATACGTAATGTGGTAAAGTGAAACGAGGTAGCAAAGAAAAAAAAGATTTATTAAAGTGTTTTGCCGCCCTATGATGTTCCTTGTTTTGTTGGCGGTGTCGACGACGTGAACGGGAATGATATACGCGGCGGTGGCGGATGACGGGTCTAAAAATAAAGCGTCCGGCTACGACAAAAGCAGTGACGGTGGCCAACGGAGTTCGAATAATAGTAAACAGCGCGTAATTAACGGCACCATTATTACACGACTAAAGTAATTAATAGCATCAATAGCTTAGGGACGATCGGCCAAATCGATAAAAAAGTTTTAGTTTGTTTAATTACCAAGACGGCGAGTGTTTCTTTTTTATTTATATAATTGAACACACGATACCCTCACACAAAGCACGACCGCGACGGCGGTGGCATACGATCGTTCACGGGCCACGAACACCAATGCATACGCCGCCGCCGTGGCCCGCTGTTTTTAATATAACGCGCATCCGCACGCTTTCAGTGGCACGCTTCGGCTACGTCAAGCAGCGGCAGCGACGACGGTACGGTGTAGGGACGCGGATCGCCCACTCTCACCCGCAGGCTTCCAAAGTTTATATTATCGTTGAACCTCCATACGCGTCCCGTTGTTCGAAATTCGTGGGCGCCTATTGCACATGGTCCGATAACGTAAACGCAACTTGTTTATTGTTAATTCTATTTGCGTAAATCAAAAATTTTTTTTTTTTAGCAGTTTAATAATAATAATAATAAAATAATGTGTACAGGATATACTTATCATTAATTTTTAAATATTATAATTTAAATTATATAGATTCTACCGTGTATAATCTACACTATTGTACAGAATGGACATGTTGGGTAAAATGTAATTAATCGGTTATTGTAAAAACGACAAAATATGTAACATTTTTCTAATTTTATAAAAAAAAGCACATAAAACTGTTTTATTTGTCTCGCCATAGCCATATGAGGCTATTTCATTTTATTGATTAAATGGTTATTTTTTAGTTTGAGTGTTAAGAATTATTTTTTTGTTGGTTTTTCTGTTTATAAACGAAAAACAGTAAATACAAATCAATAAACAATATTAATTGGAAAAAAAAGATAATAATATTTGTATATACTAATATTATGTCACTTTATTTATTGTTACTGAGATAAATTCGTTTTGAATGTTTTTTGTCTCAGTCTGGTACAACTATATTTTGTACTATAAAATTGTGTGACTGAAAACATATCAAAAAGCTGCTAAACAAAAAGTCACGGACTTGAATTATGTGTATACATTTTAAAATTAGTAGAATTTCAGTTTCTACTCAAAATTTGTTTACAATAATTATTATTGCTGACAGGATAATACAATATAAGTTAATTTGACTTGTGTGGAGAAATCATCCATTGATGGTTATCTATATTTATTAATTATTAATTTTTAACAAAGAGTAGGTAACGCAGTATGGCTACTTTATCATTTTCGTACAAACTACGAAAAGACTATAAAATCGTCTTTTTGCGTGCCTTCGAATTAATTAATGCTCTATTATAATATACATGTTTTCGAGTTAATGCGTTGGACGTGCCTACCACGAAAGAAAGAAATAAACCAAAAAGAAAGAGTGCTCGAGAACAGATTGTAAAGGAAAACATCATAATAAAAGCAGTGTTAAAAGACAAAAGTGGTTTTCCAAAAAGACAAAAACCGTAACAATAATAAACACTTCTGTCGACCTAACATTTTATTAAAGTCGTTAAAGACTAAAGTATTATAATAATCTTAACTCAGCTTATCTCCTTCGAGTGCCAACTTTTTAAAATGAAATATTGTTTTTAATTACACTTTATTTTCATTTTTTATCTTTATACTTACAAAATGGTCGACAGAGGTTTGTTATTGAACAAGTATTGGTTATTTTATACATTTTCGATCATAACAGATACCTGCTTACCTCATATACCTGCTGTTTTGTATACAATTAAATTTTACTTTTTAATCCTTAACTGTTGAACAAAAATCACGGGATCATACACGGGTTTATTTTAATTATAGATTCGATGGCGGCACTTTTTTCAATATTTAGTATTTCTAACTGGTAAATATAAGCACAAAACTTATTATCAAGCCACCACAATTATCAGCAACCAGATAATAGGTCTGAGTGCATTTTCGTTTAGACTTAAGTGTATTTATGTATCGGTACAAACAAGTACCTTTTGCTATTAACTTCAGTCCAGATATAACAGTAAGCTTTATTGGGCCTGGTCCGACATCATATTATGTTAAGTTATTTTGATTTCTTAAACTTTTTTTACCATAAAATTTGAATAAATTAAATTTATTTAGTAACTTTGTTCCATGACTTAGCTGAAATCAGACTACCGAAAACGACTGAATATTGGTGACCGGTGTACCGAACAGCTGACAGCACACTAAATCTTAAGTTAAATAAAAATTAGCCATTAGATTACCAAATATTTTATTACTGGTTTTAAAAAATAAATAGAAATTGTAATGGCCGAAAAATATAAGGACTATTTTGGTCGCCGAATAAGTATCTACCCAGATTTATTCAAATACGTGATCTACTGATGTTGCCACTTGTTAAGTTGTGTTATCGAACCATTTGAATTATATTTTTTGGCGCTAAAGGGAATCAAACGTTACTTCGTTTGGCATGAAACGTGCATGTCCTCTGTACAATGACAATAATAGGCCTCTAAACTAGCATTTATTAAGGCGCATTGTAAAGATAATTTTTCATTTTCATTAATGATTTACCATCTATTTTTGATAACACGGTCGATATACTTCTATTTGCCGATGACGCCAAAATATTTTCCACGATTACTTCTCCAGCTGATGTCTTAAATTTACAAGCGAATTTAGATAAATTTGTAATATTATGGAGTCGCCAAAATTGTTTACCATTAAATATAAATAAATGTAATATCATTACATTTTCACGTACCAATGATGCTATTAACCATGATTATAAAATAGAAAACTGTCCAGTCAAAAGAGTTAATTCAATTAGAGACTAAGGGATTATTATCGATTGCAACATGTTCTTCGCTTCTCATATAAATACTTGTGTTAAAAAAGCTCTTAAGATGTTAGGCTTTATTATTTATTAACCGAAATACAGCTACTTTCAATAATTATAATACCTTGCAAATTTTATTTTTTGCACTTGGTAAATCTCATCTTGAATTTGGGTCAACAGTGTGGGCACCTTATTAACACTCATCCATTAATCTTATTGAAAATGTACAGTTTAAATGTTAAAAGTTATTTTGTTACAAACTAAATATACCATTTATTTCAAAGAACTCATACAATATGTGAATAAATGAACTGGGGTTTATATCTTGTGAGTTGTGAGGTAAGAAGGAAGGTTGGTGATATAATGCTTGTTTATGACTTGTTGAACGGTTACATTTTTTCCCCAGAATTGCTTTCTATGATAGGGTTTAATATAACAAGTCATTTTTTAAGGAAAATAAACTTGTTTCACATTCCATTTTATAGAAATAATTATAATTCTGTTACTTTCTTCCCTAGAACATTAACATTAGCAAATCAAATTATGGATTATGTAGATTTTTTCTTTAGGTCACGTATTGTTTTTAAAAGAAATGTATATTTAGCTTTAAGTTCAATTGTCAATTAATTATTATAATTGTTATTTATTATGTTTTTATTTATTACTCATTGTTACTATTATTATTAAGTTAAACTGTATTTATTTTTAAATTATGTCTAAATTCATTTACTATTTTTTTATAATCTTCTTTAATTACTGAGACTGTATTTATGAAATTTTAATATTGTTCATTCACACTTGCTGTATTATACAAAAGGGTTTTACCCGTTTATTATACAAATAAAAATAATACATATAGGTATAGTAAAGTGCAAATAATATTTTATCTAATTTGTCTGATTTATTGTAGATATACGTTATTAGTTGTTAAAATTATATTTACAAGAAATATTATGTATACTCTTAGTATGTATGTACTTTAGTATATATACTCTGGGTTAGGTTAATTTAGGTTAGGACAAGGGTGAATTTTATTATGTAAAAAGGTGAATCATAAATAATTATTAAAGTATGTCCTCTACGTTTAGTTTTAAAAATACTACTGTCAAAATTGTTAATCAACATTTCATAGGTATTTTTTCCATCGAACAGACAAATCCAACGGTTGGTCGACAAGTATAGTAGAAGTCGTCAAATCACCCGACGGTTGTAGGTTCGTCTCTTGACCTGCAAATGTGTAGGTATAAGTTACTAGTTAGTAAGTAAATGATGGTAATTTTATTCAACTTATGTAGTCTATAATATGCGGGTTCTGGCTTCAATAGAATGTGCTGACATCAGCAAATTTTATACCTCGAATGGAATGTGCTAACGCATGCAAATTGTTTTGCAACAAATTATGTCACATAAGTATACTTGTTGACGTCATATTGTCATAGGTCAGTAACGTATACAACCCTAAACAATTATAATACAAAACTCTATATTGTCCATCTGCACGTATATTGTTTTAAACAGTTAACTACTATTGTACTGAATAATCAATCTCGGAATAAGTTTTATGTTCTCAAAAATGTATAAATCATTCTACATTATATACATGATGAAATTCACTGATTTACATGTTTCATAACTTTAGTCTTTAACATACTACACTCTTGTGTTATTCTGTACATGAGAGCATAAAAAAAGTAAAAAAAAAATAACAAGGTGTTATTTAACTAGTAGAATATAATATAATACACAGTATTGAATAAAATATTTAATTGTATACATACGTTTGTATTTTGTTGAAAGTGGAGTAAATCCAAGGATTTGGTCAGCGTACGCACACACACACACACACACACACACACACACACACATTGCAATAGTTTCTATTATAATAAATAGAAAAAAACATTTATTATTTAATAAATTATATTTTTAAAAGCAATATTTGTTTGTAAAAATTTATCATTTACTGATTTAAAAAAATTAAAAATTGAGAAAATTGTAAGATAGACTTTTAAAACGATACACGTACAGTTGAACAATTTTTAGTTTTGTATTATATATATATATATATATTAATGTTTTGGATACAGATAAGACATTATGTATATTTCTATAAATAAAAAATAATATTATTTTTTTTTTTTTATATAAAACATTTTTCAAGTCAAAAAATAATTAGGGCCGATAATAGAACCGATACTCGATATTGGTCGCTATTAGTGGTATCGGGGTTTTATCGGCGACAAATATTGGAATATCGGGTCGATACCCAATCCCTAAAAATAATGTTCTGTTAAAGAACTGATGGCATTGGCCATTGGTCGCACGTGTTGAAAACAAAACCTTAAAATCATTTAATGAAATATTTTACAAATTTCCACATTTTATAAAACGATGTATAAGAATCCCTAATTTTATACAGAGAGAAAGAATAGGTACAAAAAGTTAAACATTTTTGTCCAAAATTTTGGGTTTTTTTAAATTTATCTTTAGAATTGATGATTGAAAGAATTTCATCGAAGAAGTCTCTTTCGACATTTTTGTTCACGTACAAAAGTTTTCTCCAAAACTAACTTATATTAAACAAACTTTTAGAATTAGAGTTTCTATACATTAATAATAAATATTAAAATTTAACGTTTATAAAAAGCTCTACAACTGTTTCAAGTCCTGGTAAAAAAATAGCGTAGACACAAAAATAGGAATATTGTTTTAAACTTATTTTTAAAGCGATATTTCTCGCACCAACTGAATTATAATCTTGAAGCGTTTTTTACTATAGTGATTTGATCATATTGGAATGTGTTACTACTATTCTTTGTACAATCCTGCGTAACTGTTCCCACTATTTATTGTGCGTCTGTGCTAAGGGTAGGTGAGGAGTTATTTTCAAATATAAATGAATTGTTCCGTACTCGTTATCGTTCTAGTTTGCTGGTTGTGACTTCTGGCATGTTTCCTCAATGAACTTGGGTCTGTGTATCTCTTCATACATTTCTCTACTCGACAGGCGTACGGTTTTTCAATGAAGTGCGTTCGGGTGTGCTTGAAACGGTCACTAGAGTTTGAGTACGCCTTGTTGCACCCATTCACCGAGCAAACATATGGCTTTTCTCCTGTCAACATAATATAATGATTATTTTAAACAAACCAAACCCAAAACTCACACATAAAACCCTCAAACATATTCAAGGGTTGAATTAAAAAGTTCACGAATTAAATCATTTTTCTCTTGTTTAATATAACATATAAACTTTATACATTTATAATCTTTATATGGCTTACATAATTATGTCAGTCGTACTATAATATTACGATTATCAAACGAATCCACCGAAACCGTTTAAAAAATCATGCGAAACTGAGACGTAAATTGCCGAATGGTCTTGATAAGAAAGCCAAATATTAACCACGTCGCAAAAAAAAATTAGCCACCTCCTTGAAAATTCAGTTAATAAAATAATTTAAACAAGAGGCTTCTGACTAGAGTCGTATAAGAAATATAATGATAGATAAGGTTATTTAATTACTACATAGTGCTTAGTGATGAATTTAACTGTTCATGTTATTACTAATATACGACTGATTATTATATTAATGTACGCATGCGAGTAAGATTCGAAAATCGCCATTAAAATAATACGGCAATTTATTAATTTTAAGTAATTATTATATATTTTTTAAAATAATTAAAGTTTCTTATCGGTCATTCTAATCGAATATAGGTATATTTTTTAACTATACTAATTATCATAATAATTAATGTTTAATGATGCTGTCTAGCGATTATTCCCTAATCGCTTTTTGAAATTTATATATTATTATTTATTGTTACTATATATTATATACAATTAAAAAATGAAATGACAACTTTTCGAGTGGGTGCGGTAATTGTATTCGGTCGGTTTATACAGCTTCTTGCCCTTTTTTAAGATAATGACCCATAAGTTTATATTATGTAAACTGCGGCAAAAAAAATGTAAACATTATACAAAATGCGACACAAATGATAAGATACATTCTACAAACTGCGACAATTTATTTTAAATACCTACCTAATATATATACGAATGATAATTTGCAACATGTAATAGTATAGGTCTATGGTGTGCACATAATAGGAGTAAAGGTGTAAAAATTAAAATTAAAAAACAATTTTAAAATATGAAATTGAGAAATATTATTATTTAACTAACATTAAAAATGATTGTACATCTAATACTGCCCAAGAAAATTAAAAATTGAAATAATAATACAATTATTGATTACATTTAATTTAATTTGTTTAATATTTAGTTGTTTATTCTTAAAACATACTTTTTTCAAAAATTCTTGAAATTTGTTTATCTTCATTATTTTTTGTCACTTTTCGTTAGTACATTTGTATTTTTGCATTGTTATTTTACTTCGTTGTTATATTACACTTTCTTCTGCACTTCTAATTTTTATTTATGTGTCAACTTGAACATTCTGTATAGCATCTATATATTATTATTTCTTATTACAAGTATTACTGTATATAAGTATATAGTATATTATAAAATAGGTATATAAAATAAAATGTCGCAGCTGTATAATGTTAAATTTTTTTTGCCGCAGTTTACATAATATCAGCTTATAGAAAAAGGGTTATTTTGGCGCAGTTTACATACAGCCCGTTTTGCACATGTATTGTTACCAGAGTTGCAAAATGTTTTAAACTAACAGTATTGTTTTAAACGTTTTAACTTTACTATATAATTACATTTATTTTATAATTTTCATAATACTTATATTTATATTTAAATAATATGTATATATATATATATATATATATATATATATATATATATATATATGTTTGTTATTTTAATTTAAGTAACTAATTTGTATTTGTTGAAACATACAAAATTCAGATTTTAAGATATAATATAATAATTAATGTCAAATATTTATTGTTTTTATGTATACATAAATCTGAAAAATGTGCCCAAGGGTTTGCTTTATTGTCTGTACAGTCTGTCTCTAGAACTATTTAAATGGAACTATTGTTTATTTCTAAAGAGTAAATATCTAATTAAACAATTAACTAGAATTTAAAAATCATCCGGAATTGGTAAGTATTTAGTAAAATTTGTTTAAAATGTTTTAAATAAAAAAAACAATGTTTTTAACATGTTTAAAACATAATTTTTAAATTTTATTAAAAACAGTTTAAAACATTAAAAACAGTTTTAAACAAAAAAACGTTTTTTTTCGTATTTAAAAAAAAAATTGTTTGTTTTGCAACTCTAATTGTTACCACCGCAGTTGAAATTACAATTTTTAGTTTTTAAATATTTTTAAAAATACCCGTGTGCGTGCGTGCATGGATCTTGAGGTTTTCCGTCCTAGTAAAGCTTTTTCCACAAGTATAACATTGATAAGGCTTGTCGTTCGTGTGCGTACGTAAGTGAATTAACATTTTGTACCTAAAAATAGTATGATAGAGTTACGCATTAGGAAATTAGCCTTGGTCTCTGATTAAATGTAAATGCAAACACTAAACATATTATAATTTATGTACTGACTTGGCGTTAAAAGCTCGGTCTCCTCTGGTACAGCTCTTCCATTTGCAATAGAACAACCCTTGTGGACCAGGTACCATGTGGTTCGTCACATGTTTTGCAAGTTCCGATTTGTTAAGATGTAAACCACATTTGTCCCATCTGCGAATAACGCAGTCAATATTATTTATTCTATATTGTAATTAGTAGTCAAAATAACGTGGTAATTGACTTGGGTAGGTCTTAGGTTCAATAAACGGTATACCTAATTAAACGATTAACAGTGCTAAATTGTTGTACAGGGTGACGGAGAATGAAAGACTACATTTGTAATGGGCGCCATAATTTTAATTTTTGAGGTAGAGGGGTAAAAAAAACAAGTTGTTGCAAATTTAGGGAAGTTTTATTGGATATGAAAAAAATATTATTTATGAAACAGAATATCCGACAGATAGCGTTCTTGGTCGGAGATACATTCTTGGAGGCGCTCGCCGAAGTTTTTCATCACTTTCTCCAACATTTCCCCTGGAATTGATGCGATTTTACTTCTAATTGCGTCCTTTAAATCGGAAAGGGTTTGTGGCCTGTTGACATAGATCTTCGACTTTAGATACCCCCATAGGAAGAAGTAGCAGTCGCCATTTCGAGAGATATGACGTCCGGGAAAAGTTGAACGGATGAGATGCATGAAATTCTTCGCTAAACGCTTCGATGCAAATCAGTGAATAGTAGTTTAAACCAGTAGGCAGTCCAGTCCAAACCAAGCACAGTAAAAAAATACGTATTAAAGAGGTCCAGTGTCCACAGATACGAATCGAACCTAACCGGTGTTATATTTTTCCGTTTTCCGTTTTGATTTACAAAACTGTTATTTTTCCCCCAATTCGGTTTTAATTTTGATTTCGATTTCGTAAGGGAGTTAACCGATTTTTGAAACAGGTTTCAAGCCCTGAATAGATATCCTACACGTGTCACGATCATTACTCGATGTCCTTTCCTGAGGAAGTGGACAGTTTTAAGTTAAGAAGAAGGAAAGGACATCATGCAATGATCGTGGCACTGGCACGTGTAGGGTACCTATCTAATTATTCCTAATTTTATTAGTTACGCAACTTGTGACTTGTGTACTTGTTTAAACCAAGTCTTACTAGCATTTAGTAATTAAGTTTTCCCTGTCCTGTTGACATTAATATTTGTTTGTAACAACAACAAGGAAAATACGTAAATTGCATTATTTTAACTTATTTACAAATTTCTGTACAACCCTTTTAATACAATATGTAAATTCTTCAATTCTATCGGAATTATCAAGTATCTTGTGCATACAACCATTGACTACTATTGTTGACTCGTTTGAACCGAATCTAGCTTGAGCAGTTTTCGTGTGATTAAGAAATTGATTAAGTGTTATTTATTCAAAGTATCATTTACCTTACTATCTTCTGTACAAGGTAGTATATATTATGTTTTAGACCTTTGGTTCATTACATATTCGTAAATGTTTTTGTACAATAAAGATTAAGGAACAGCGTCGTATAATTTAAAAACAAATATCAATTATCAATATAGATTTATTTTTGATATGCGTTTAAGTATGACTTAGAACATTTTAATATCAAAATTTGATAAAAAATTTACCTTTACTTAATAAATATGTGGTGTGACGAGATAGTGTTTTTTTTTATTACGGAATATAAAATAATTTTAAAAAAGAAATGAATTATACTTATAAGATGAAGAGTAAAAAGGGAACTAGTCTAGTTAACTAATTTTCAAATTGAAGCTGTTTTGCAAATTGTTTCAAATTATGACATAATTAAAAAATGTTCGTAACTTCAATATTTTTTGCTTGTGGTTTATTAGGATAGTCGAATACCGCTTAAAAACTGAAAATAAGCTGTAAATACATTAAAAAGGCTATAACATTCTACTATTAGTACTACTTGTCTACTATAGTAATTAATATATTAATTACAATTGACAGGTTCACACGCAGAGTCGGCATTGTTCTAATCGTTTCTTATTTTGATTTAATTTATTCGAATAAACTATTATTAAATTGCGAACCTAGTAGATTATTCGATTAAATCACTAATAATACCAGACGAATAACTTACCGGATAGAATATTATAATCAACATTTGTTGGATTAATTTTATTTGTTATTTTTTTAACCTACACAATCTAATTTAAAATGTTACTATTTGAATAATTATATTTATAAATATAATATGTTAAATACTTATGTTATCATAATAAAAGTACAGTAAAATAATAATTTTTTTTTTTTTTGAATTATTCTTATTTCTTACAATTTTTTATATGAATTGTTTTAGTAATTCGTTATTTAATTATATTTTTCGAAGGGATTTAAACAAAATGTCTTAAACATATGTTTAAAACGTTTCAACGAAACATATAGAATTCGAATTTCATGGAATAATTATTATACTATTTTATATTATTATATTATACTATAATATACTATCAAATATGTGTTATTTGTATGTATACATAATACACTACTGTATAGTGTTAAGTGTATATATATTACATCATCATTTACTTTATGGAATATAGACTAGATAGAGTCTATATAGTAGATTGCACTACAACCATTGTACTGTACCTATACATTAAATATTAATACATGTATAAAAATTACCTCAAGTTCTTACTATATTGTCAGAAGTGTAGTTAAAACTTAAAACTAATTAACTAAAAAATGTGCCTAAGATTTTTTTCTGAAGTCTTTTGAAATTAGATTTTTTACGTAACAGTTGTTTATTTTTTAAAAGTAAATGCCTAATTAAATAAACAACCCGAATTTAAAAAATGATCAGCCGGAATTAGTAAGTATTTAGTAAATATTTAATATTTTTACATACCTAATTAGTTATTATATATATGATTTATACAAAAATATATTAAAATTTGTTTAAAACTTTTTAAATAAAAAAACAATATTTTTAACATGTTTAAAACATAATTTTTAAATTATGTTAAACAACCATTTAAAACATTAAAAAAATAGTTTCAAACAAAAAAACTGTATTTTTTCCAATTGCACACTTTTAATGATTTTGGATAAAATTAATTTTAATCGTCTAAATATGAACTAAGTATAGGTACCTAGTGAGTGAACTTATTATTATAAATTAGGGATCGTTTATGTTTTGTAATATTCGAAAAATAACTTGTTAAAATATAAAAAAATTAAAATAGGCAGTAGGCTGCTTATTGACTCGACTCTTGGGGGATAGCATTTATATAGGTATAGTAATATGTTCTATTTACATAAATACATAATAATTTATAAGCAATAACTAAGTTCATTAAAGCATAGCCACAAGATAAAGTTATCACATATCAGTATGATTAAAAGTAATTTTTTACTTGCAAAAACATGGTGAATCCTGGTTATTGGAATTGTTGACAATCATATTGATTACAAAATGCCGATGTATTATGTTATTGTGATTATTTTATACGAAAACCTTGAGATATATTTTGCACAATAAATTAATGGTACTTGCACTAATCTTAAGACTAAAAATAAAAAGTTGTCGAAAAAAGTCTGTTTGGAGATGGTAAATAATGCGAATGAACGTTCATGTCGTAGAGTAAAATGTAACTTGCGTAAGGAAATGCCACATGGGCTCAATATGTTTCTCTTAGTTGGGGGTCTTAGTTTTCATATTATTACAGCTTGAGTCTTGACAGGGGGTAGGTACGTAGTGTAAAAAAAATAAAATACAAACACATCATTGTCTTAACTGTTATGCAAAGTAAGATTATGCTTGTGCACCACTTTAGTAGTTATAGGCAGTAGTATAGGAATCGAATAAAATAATAAAGTATCAACAATAAGAGGCCTAATTTTAAGTGTTGTCTATTTATTATAATTAACACAATACAACACGATCATAGAATAATATATTCAGTTATTAATTTTTTTTTCGCTGAAACCGAATGCGGGATCAGATTTGCTCAAGTACTTTTAATTTGTTTATTAAATCTCCTCTAATTGTATAAATAATTCGAAATTAATTTTGAGATCAGTTTATTTTTTACCCTAGATTTGGGTTAAAAAAAAGTTAAATTTTAATGTATAGTGTGATATCCACATTACTTATAAAATATTGTTGTATAATTACTTGAATATACTGTAGAATTATTTTAGGTTTTATTTTTTTTTTCGAAGTAGGCAATATAATTTTCATAGTTCTCTTGATTGTGGTAGGTTTTTTTTATTGCTAAATCTACACCCTTTTCGTTACTACAAAACCATATAATAATTATATTTTTATTATTTATGCATTTTAAAATATATTATGCAATTTAAAATTGTTATAAAAAGGTGAAATACAATAATTTATGTAAACATATTTATTATTTACGCTTTATGCTAACATTAAAATTAATATTGATTAATATCTCTTCATCATTCAGATTAATATGCTTTGATTGTTATTAACAATTGTCATAGCCATTATCCGGAGAAATAATGCACAAGGTTCATGGACAATATAATTGGTGAATATTAACAGTAATACTATTATCTTTGTTGCATTAAATATAAAAAGTATTTAAAATAGTTGTTACTATCTTTATAATGACATTTTTAATAACGTTTGCTGTATCATAAGTGTATACAAATGTGTAAGAGTGACTACTAGCTTTTAAAAATATATAGTACATAACTCTAAGAAAATGACACAATTTTTTTTGTTAAAAACATATTCAAATTGCTATTAATATTAAAACAAGTAAAATTTAACTTAAACAGAACAATACTCAATAATTTTATGAATTGAATTTATTTAAAATAATGATAAACGTTATAATAGGACTTATTTAGTTCTTTTTATTCACAGTTAAAAAATGATATAGACATATAACATGTTAGTAAAAACGTTATTTATCATAGATAAGATTAACACAATAAAATATTTTTAATAGCAAAAATATTGACTGAAATTGCCATTTTCTATCAAATTTAATTTTAATAAATATCTTGCATTTTAAATGGCATATACTTAAAAAAGATAGAATTGCATTTTGTATTTCCTTTAAAAAATGTAAAATATCCCAAAGTGAAACCACATAAAACCACAGAACAGGCTGCAGCAGTGAGCAAACTATATTTTCCCTTTTTTTCCATCTAGAATAAAACGAGGTATCACAAATTACAGTTTTATACTAATGTTGTATTTAAGTTTACTTTATAAACAGTTTTAAGTGTTTTTTTCATGCTGTCTTCTTCCGCTCTCATATAAGGTTTTATCATTGACGCAGCGTCAATTGTCGAAAGGTAATCATCAATTAACTTATCCTCATAAGGATTGTTTAAAAGTACATAATACATTTGGTTGAGAGCGATTGCGATCGATCCAAGTTGTCCACAAATATTCGATTGTAGTTTTGATATTTCTTCGTTCCTAATAAAAAGTAAAAACCGATACAAAATTATCAAAATATGATAATTTAACAATAGAATTTTAATAAATTATTATTATTATGATAAGTTTTCAACTATAAATAAATTATAAAAAACTTACGATAGTTTCAGCTTGTTAAATGTTGATGTTTTATTAAGTACGTTTATAGCCTCTAACATCAGTGGTATATCGGTATCACTAACATCCAATTGTCTGAGGTCTGAAGCTGTTAAATAGACCATAATATGTTCATCAATTCCATATTCAATAAGTTTTGATTTATATTTTTCACATTCAATTGATTTTAAAACGAAATCCAGTCCACGTAGTTTTAATCTAAAAGTTAAATTTAGCGTTACATACTTAGTCCAAATTGAACGGCAATTAACAACCTTTAAATTTAACTAAAAATTAGATTTTTTATGAACTGACTTCTTTGTTTAGGTCACTTTTTACGTAACATCATTGACATATAATATTTTTACTTACGGAGATTCTTCACTACTTTCGAGTTCTTCCATTTTTTTTTGGTACTTGATCAAAATAACGAATTAAGAAATAATATAGCAGAAGGGTTATATATTTCAACCATGAGAATTACCCAGTGTATTATTATAATTCGTGAGCCGGACTATATAAACATTGATTTAAAAACAAATAGATAGCCCACAGCAATGTAAACATTGGAAACACGTGATATAGTCATTAGTGTTCTACAATACTCATAGATGTCGCGCAATATTCTAAAAGTAATATTTTCTGTTGTCTCGTGACGTATGTTCAGACATCCTGGACATTTTGGACCTTAAGAGTAAAGCTGTTTGAAACACCTAGGCCCTAGAGTTTCCGACGCTGGTCAAAAATACCGTGTATATTATGAAGTTAAATTTTGACGGTAATTTAACCGCACATCCACTACATTTCTCGTCACCCAGAAGTGTGTTACCAACATTTTAATTAAATATAATATAGTATAATTAATTCAATATTAGCTTCGATGCGGAGCTGAGGAGATAACTTGTGAATTATGAAAAAATGAATTTTTTGTACAAACCCGCAAAATTGTTAAACCGATGAACCGATTTCGTTAGAATAAGTATTACCGATTAACGTTGATGAACAATAATATCATAAATCCTTCCCCCTAGAAGGGGTGAAAACATATTTTTATCTCTTCGTCGAGCGAAGTTTTAGGGCTAGAATAGGTCTATAGCATATACATTTTTAAAAACAAATTAGGTCAAACTTTATTTTTATTAAGGAAAAACCAACAAAAAAAGGGAAAAATTACACTTTGGCCGTGGTAAATTTCTAGGTTGCTATATATTAGTGAATCAACATAAACATGAAATTTAAAAATGCTCATTTAAATGGTTTTAAAGAAGTGTTTTTATTTGTTAAAATGCTTATTACTTTACTGCGGAAGTTGTAAGAGGATGCCACACCGGCCATTTAAAAGGAGTAAAGTATAGGCAGTTTGTTTGCAAAATCTTAATTTAAAGGTACTGTCACACTGAGATGTGTAATTATTAGTTCAGTAATTAGAACTCTTTTTTGGTAGTTAATTTATTTTTCAGACTATAACAGCATCCTTGGCAGCGATTTAAAAAAAAAATCATCTGAACATGCGTAAATGCAGAATGCGATTTACTCGGCCAATAGTGATTTTAGAGCAAAACCAACTATAATAAAATCAAAAGATAACAGCATTTTGGCGATGATGACATATCCGTTTATTGTTACGTTCACGCGACAAGTTGAGTATCCACAAATACCGAATAGTCGGCGAATAGACGAGTCGTACTGAACCGATTTTGATGAAATAAAAATTAATTATTAGTCTTTTTGCATATTTTCTACTTTTTGGCGACACAGACCGCTTAAAAATAAGGTCTTTCCTCAGTATGTGTTTGCGATAGAACTACATGTAATTTTACGTTCTTATTCTATTACTAAATAGTAAAACCGAACTCGTTTGTTTTGTTTTTGTCGTATACGACGCGTCGGTCATCCTTGGCAATGGCCATGGTACCAATAAAAATATTCCAAATAATTGATAAAGCAACTTATGTATCCACTAACATCATTCTATTTTTATCTCTTTCACAAATTACAAAAATTAATACAAAATGAATAAGCTTACATATTTCTTCGCATCGTTTTCTAGGAAAATCTACACCATATAACAACTATTAAGAAACAAAATATAATCTATACAGATCTTTATAGGTACAATTGTAAAAATATTGTAATTATAAATGTAATTTGAAAAATATTTTATTTTTATAATCGATTAATAATTAATTGTTAATTATATCTTTGAATTGGAATACCTATTAGTAAATCTATCGGTTATTATTTATTTTCCAGTTAACGACAAAATCAGTAAGGTTGGTTATTATTTTTTTTTTTTAACATAATGTTGGGTTACTCACTTCCCTTCATCACAAATAAATGTTTTATATTATGCAGTACAATTAGTTTTAAAAACGTATGAAATCTGTCTAGGCGTATTAAATCACCAACCGTGATTTTGGCATTGCAGTTTTCAGACAAAATGATAAGAAAGTAATGGTAATAAAGCATTAAAGTACCTAACATCTATAACTTATAACTAACCTAATTTTATCTATTGAATATAAAATTGAGTGTATAATTAATATAACGTTCAATTAAATGTACGATAATATATTTAATCGAATTGCATTATTACTATTACTACTTTATCTGGGGACTAAGCTAATATTCTTAGCGAAAAATCATTAACAATTATTATAAAGACTGTATCTTTATAATATTTATTATGTGACGCATTTTTAATACAACAATTAACATATTTCATGAAATCACTAAAATTATTATAAACTTCATAGTGCACGTGTCACGTGTTAGCGTATTTTGCATAAAGTAGGTTGTCTGCTCACAAGGAAATATAAGATTTCAATTATTTTTGGAATGTTGCCCAATAAAAAAATGTATCATGTAAACAGAAATATCCTATAATCTGTAATATATATATATATATATATTTATATAAATGCGGTACTTATGAATTTTTTGGCTTAAGGTTAAGAGAGCCAAAATCACTGAAAAGTTCTTGACATTTTCTATAATTCTCGACCAACTTAATTTGTCCTATATTTTTATTACTATAATTAAGTGTTTAATTTTTCGAAGAATACTTCAAAATAAATATGTATATACTTTACACCGTTGTGTTGAAGTATTATTATGTTAACTAATAATCGACTAGTAATATTGATTGAGGTCAGGTGAATATTACTGGTACATGGACGTTTGCTTAAATTTTAATTATGTCTTCATATTTTGTGGATAACGCAGTTGACAAAAAGCTGATTGCACGTCACAGTCAAGTTACTCTACGTACAATTTGCTGGTTATCAGCTCAAATTCGATTGCTCATCTATTGTTAATTGTACTACAGACTACAATGTTTTATTATCGTACAATATCTAGGCTAATCGCTACCATACCGATGATAGCCAATATCATATTTTTTCTAATTGACCGCGTGTAACACAACATTATACGCGTAATCTACCTTTCCCATATTTGCGTCACTAATTAATAAAATATAAAATAAAAGTAATTCCTTGAACTTTTGAGTAAATATAAAATTAACAGACGTACACCAAAGTCAATATACAAATAACATAGACACCGAAGTGATAACGTTATCTGTGCAATATTCCTACGTTTCTGGAAAATGACCAACGCTGTGTATCACCTTAGTCAACTTCACCTTTAGATAAACATTTATATATCAGATTAAGAGGTTTGCTTGCGTGGATTAAAAAGTAAAAACATTAAAAAAAAAAACAAATACAAATTAATGATAATAATGAAACAAAATCGTCAAGGCAGGGCTTATTGCGTCATCTGCAAAAAAGTTTTGATCAAAACAATAAAAACAACAGCTTCCGATCCTGCGAAAACATGTTATGGAAAATATCATAATCGCAATTCGAACATTACACGATTTACGATTAGGCAATATAAGAGCTTGTGTCTCTCGACTAAATTATGGTACAATGTTTATACCTACGTCGAACCATCATTCGTTTCGGAAAAATATTCTACACATTACCGGTTAAATGATAAAAAGTTAAATATCACAAATAATTTACGACTGGGATTAATAAAATACTAAAAACGACAATTAACATGAATAAAACATTAGTTACTGGAAGGCTGTAGCCAAAAAAATTGTGTTTTTAATAGTATTTTTGTTATTCAAAATACTCGCATGTGGAAACAGACACCGATTCTACGCGTTTGTATTTTGGTAAATATGTTTTTTCAATAGAATCATAATTTCTTATTAATTGTAATGTTATTATTATTATTGTACATTATTTGGAGTGAATAGTATAAAAATGTATGGCGGTAGGCGTACCACGTATTTAAACGATGGTTTTTTTTATGCTTTGACGGTGCTAATGCTTTATGTGCAAATTTTATCAATGTCAGCGTTACACACAGCTGTAACCGTGTAGATATCGACGATGTCATTTTATGTTTATACATATGTCTGGCACGGTATCAACGAGGTATAATTATATTTATATATGTATAACGATGTATATATATATATATATAAATATTATTCACTTATTCAATGTTATAAATTCACTAGTGCGAGACTCACTGTTGGAGGAGAACGTTCGCTGATAAGTCATTCCGCAGCCACATATATAACATACATAGATGGTTTAAAAAGTTGAATTTCCTTTTTCGCAGACGTACTACACTTGTATAAGATTTTTATAAAATATTTCGATCATGTGCGGAATTTGGGCACTTTTCGGTATAAACGTGCAGTCGTTATCCAAGTATGACAAGACGTTTGCAAAAATCTCACACCGTGGACCCGACGCCTGGCGGTTGGAATATGATTTAAAAATCAAAGTGAGACACGTTATTGTCATTTTTTCATTTTAATAGATTTTTGAAACAATAGTATTTTTTACAGAACATCTGCCTCGGATTCCATCGGTTAGCCATCATCGACAGCCTCTACGGTATGCAACCCATGAAGCTCCACCAACACCCGTACGTGTCTTTGATATGCAACGGCGAGATTTTCAATTGGAGACAGGTACAGTTCAGCTATTGTTTGATCCTCGTTAACGCTAAACATTGAAACATAAGTTAGGAGTCCTTGCATAAATTATATAAAACGTGATTAAGTTACTATTTCGAAATATATGGCTGTCGATCTATGATGAAACATTAAAAATAGCGTACATTTTTGTCAGAGATTTCTTATCTGGCCACAGCATTTTATTTATACAAATAACTTGCGTGTAATGTATCTACACGCAAAAAAAAGTTAAAATTACAATTTCATATGTTTTATTGTTTTTTTTTAAATTTACTTTAAATTTTAGTAAACAGTATCGCGGTAATATAGAACAATATAATACTTATAAAGACCAGAAGTAAATATGTTTTATACTATATATTCGTATAAAATTGCATCGTCTAATTAAGAGATCTTAAGAAAACATTTTTTTTGTAAATTGCTAATTACGAATTAAATTTGAACATTTTTCAAAATTCATTCCGACACATTAGGTGATTAGGAATGACCCCATATCATTTTTAGGGGCCGGAATCCGAATAATAATAATAGTTGCGGGCAAAATTTTATCGGAACAAATAGACTTAAGTGAAAACAATTTTTTTTTTTTTTAACTTATTCTGGATCTCCGAATTAAATTTTTTTATTACCTATTAAAAATTACACTTTTCATAGTGTTAAATATTATTTTCGTTTCAATATAGCTCGGTGAACAACACGGTTTCCAATACGAGACAAAGTGCGACGTAGAAAGCGTTTTGCAACTTTACGGCGCTTTTGGAATCGATGAAACGCTTAGGCAGTTAGATGCCGAGTACGCGTTCTGTTTGGTCGACTCGCAAAAGAGAAAAATTTTTGTGGCCAGAGACCCTTACGGTGTGCGACCGTTGTTTTACCTCATGTCTGACAGCGGTGTGATGGGAATATCTTCGGAGGCCAAAGGTAAAAATTACTGTAAAAAATAATGTCCTAATGTCGTGCTCTTATGATTCATACTACAGTAGCCAGGATTTTATTTAGGGAAAAGATAACTAAAAAACGAATTAAAAAAATGGTGGTAAATAAATTACAGTGGTAATTAATCGTTTATTTATATATTCTGAATTTTCGGGAAAGGCTGCAGCACTAGAGCTAAAAACAGTTACAAAACATTGTAAAAAGACAAACTTTAAATTATTTATAACTTAATACAAAAGTTCCAACTCTAAAATTTGTTAAAGAACATTATTATTAAAGTTTTAAAACACCTTTATTTATAAAAGCTAAACTTTTAAATAAAAAGTTTTTTTTCGATACTATTATCGATTTACTTATGTATACTATTGGTGGTAGGCAGTAACTTTTAAAATAGAACTGTATTTTTAAGTTCACATAAAACAACTATAAAAAAAAATTTAAGGATGCAAAGTTTTTAACGACAAATTTTATTTTGTAAAATAAAAGTTAAAGTATATCTTTACTTTTTTAAATACAACTGTTAAATCGATCCCTGTTTTTTTAATTTAATATATGGCCTATGTAATCGTTTGTCATTACCCAGTCATAAAATGATACAATTTTGTTTAAAATCATTCCAATTCTGACTTTATGAAATATTATTATATAAGTATATTATAAACAAAAGTGCTACTGATAAGTGATTCAACACACGAGAAAACGTTAGTAAGCAAACCAAATAATTAGCATACGTGTTTATATATATAATTATCTAGTCAAACTAATTGATATTTATCCATCACATACAGCCAAATTAATATAGAATATTATCAATTAATAACTGACTACATTTATGTTGTATTAATTGCATGATATAATAATATTCATAATCAAAGTATGTTGAACTGATGGCTAATTTATTTTTTCAATTAATGAATTTAGATATACTTTTTTTATTGAGATTAAATTTATATTTTAGATATCTTAAATACTTCTATCATCAAAAAAATATCACAAAACCTCGAAACAAAAACGATATAAAGTACATTTAATGTGTTATGAGTGATCTTTTTTTTACACTTAATTAAATAACGGGTAAGGTACAAAATGTAAATAAAAAAAGATAAACAGCGTTGTACATATTATGTAATGTTCGCGATATGTTACATCATTATTCAGTACTCATTATGTATAAGAATAAAAACTCTAAAAAAGTTTTAAAGAATTTGTTTAGAGATTATTTGATCATGTAATTGTAGTTATTTGCTGATCACATGGTTAGAGGTCAATGTGATTACATTTATCTTTTTTTTCCTTATGATTAATTGATTGGCAAGTCTGTATACGTACTACTGTAATTGTTATTACAGTAGATACTAATTTAATATTTAATTTTGATGACGTTGTAATCAAAACATATTATCTAATTAATTGTAGGTGGGTTATTATTATTTTATTCGATTGTGCTTTAATTTTCAAACCGATTATCTGATCAAAATATCTGATTAAAATGTATAAACATATACTATTATAGGGTCATTCCACGTGAAATCACCTAATGGGTGTGCGACTATAGTTCAAAAATGTTTAAAATTTTTATCATATATTCGTTATAGATCCTTAATGATAAACAACATTTTAAACTTAGTTTTGGACCTATGTAGTTTTATTTTTAAAAATAATTATCCAAAAACACCTGACTCTGTAATTTAACCTCTGCTTAAATTTTCCAATTTACATATATTGAAAATATACAAAATTTACATTTACATTTTGAACCCTTACCACTGATGTTACATAAATGTCTCCATCACCAAACTTTTACCAAATGTTCTACTCACTTATAAATAAGGTTAAGTTACAAAGTCGGAAATATTAGGTGTTTTTGGATAATTTAAAAAAAAAAAAAAGTTTTTATCATTAAGGACCTGTGACGAATGTATGGTAAAAATTCTAAACATTTTTGAACTATAGTCGCACACCCATTAGGTGATTTCACGCGAAATGACCCTATAACGATAATTTAAAATTCAACTTAATATGTAAAGTCGTTGAGTTTTTTAATACTTAAGTATAAGTAGTTTAATAATTGGTGATAAATATGATAAACTTAAAATAATTTTTCATAATTACATTTTAATCGTACTAACTTAAATATTATAAATATATCGAGTCATATAAAATTTAAATTATACATATTATATTACTTCTTATCTTCTTAAGCTTTTCATAGCCCACTCAAAGCTTTCACTGGTTTAACTATTTCACGCCATCTCTCCCTGTCTTCACTCTCTTCTAGTCATATTTACTGTGAACCTTTTTTGTGATCAGGTTTCACCTTATTCATTCATCTTTGTCTGGGTCGGCCTCTAGGTCTTTTCCCGCTGATTTTACCAGACATTACTTCTTTTTTTAATAACTTGTCCTACTCATTCTACTCGTTTACTTCTTAAGTATGCTTTAATATTGTGCTTTTGGTACATGTGGTATGATTCCCTTTTAGCTTTTATTCGATTTTCACTATTCTCTACAATAAGCACCACAGGCACAATTCTCCACATTCTCGAGACTTTCATTTGTTTGACTGCCCTAATAGATCGGATGTTTTTGTGACTACTTTCGCACGTCTAATGCCAATAACTATAATATTGTCAGCATAGGCAAGTACAGTGTTCATTTCAAGGATCTCTATTTCTTGACGAACGGGTATAGCTCTGATCACTTTTATATTATTATGATCACTATTATAATACTTAAATTTATACATGTTATTATTATTCATAGGTTTTTTCGTATTATTTTTTTGTCCAGTACTGTAACTGTATCCTCTGAAAAATAAGGTACATAAAATGTTAACTTAATTTAACAAATGCTTTTGAAACGTTTTTGTTCAGAAGTTATAATTATATATGTCTATATTAAACTGACGTACTGTTTTTGAAAGACTTTAGTAGGATAGAATATTTTTTTTAATGATATCGGGACCCCGTGATTTGTGGTGATTGTATATAATAATAATTATTATAAGTATAATGTATATATTGTTCAAAGTTCAGATAGATAATAGATCAATAACAATAGGTATTTGCTAGTTATGTATTTTTATATAGTGGTTAATATTATATGGAATGACTTTACACAGCTCAAAAATAGACTTAAGAAAGGTCAGTTTCGATTATAACATACTAGGTTACTTATAACTGCTTAGTTCCTCGTAATTTTTTAATGCTAATTTTAGACTAGCGATTATTTGCCTTTGCTCATCTTCGTATCTAGGATCTATTTACATCTATGTTCTAAGGAAAATCCGCCAAATTAAATTTATTTTTTCATTTTGATTATTTTTTTTTTTTGAATGGGATATTCTTACTTTTAATGCCTATTAAAACGACCTTGATCGGGCGGTTCTGTTTTCTGAGCGAATAACCTACAAGGGAAAAGGAGTCGCCATCCCGCCTTTCGGGACGATTCCCTATAGGGAATTATATCATCATCATCATCATGTAGCTTAACGGGCCATGAAGGCCCAACGCTGCCATCATGAGATGGTTTCTTGACGAATTCGCTTCCGGGACGGGTCGTCAATCCGTCGCCGGATAGGGGGATGGCGGTTCCTTTTTACCGGACGATTGCTCGCCCAGCAAACGGAGCGCCTTTAGGGAATTATATAGGCGAATTAAATAATGTATTAGGCGAAATATTCGTAATGACAGCGTATAATGTCTGTTAAGCTACATGATGGAACTATTTCAAAAGTTCTTGCATTATAGATTTGTAAATGAAAAAAAGTTAAAATTGCCTTTTATCATTGTTACAGGTCTGACCACTTTGGTCAGAGAGCTTCATCTCACCAATTGGTCAATAAAACCTTTTCCACCGGGCCATTTGGCTGAATTCGATATCTTGCCCGACGGTAAAACACATTTGGTCTCCTTGAACAGGTTTTTTAAGATTGAAGAACCGATACTACCTCCAATTCCACTCGAAGACGGTTTGCTTTCTATTTAAGAGCTATAATGTATTTTTGAGGTTAAAAAAAGGAACTCGGCGGTTCTAATCTTTTTCATGTACAGGGTTAAGCGAAGAAGCAGTGCACGCCAACATCCGAAACCTGTTAACGGAGTCGGTCAGAAAGAGGATGATGGCCAACCGCCGGATTGGTTGTTTGCTGTCCGGAGGATTAGATTCTAGTTTAATCGCCGCCATTCTGGTGAATTTATCCAAAGAACTATGTCTTCCATATCCCATCCAGGTGTGTACGTCGTGTCGGTCTAAACAGTGTCATGGATAACACTCGTGTTAACCGTTTTTTGTAGACATTTTCAATTGGCATGGAAGACAGTCCGGACATATTAGCGGCTAGACAAGTGGCCAAGTATATTGGGTCCGAACATCACGAAGTGATTTTCACCGCCGAAGATGTGTTGAAGGTACTGAACGAAGTTATTCACACACTGGAAACCGCGGACATAACGACCATCAGGGCCTCGTGTGGTAAGAATAGGGTCTAAACATTGAATACAATTCGTGTCGGTTTTGTACTGATTTTGAAAGTTTTTTGTAATGGAATTTTCGGTTTTTAATTGTTACTTACAGGCATGTATTTGGTTTCACAATACATCAGAGAGCACACTGACACAACGGTATTGTGCAGCGGAGAAGGAGCCGACGAGGTGGCCCAGGGATACATTTACTTCAGAGACGCTCCGAGTCCAGATCACGCCCACAACGAAAGTCTCAGGCTATTGAACGACATCTACATGTACGATGGTCTTCGAGCCGACAGGACAACCGCTGCCCATGGGTAATACCATAACACTTAATGCTATATACCTTAAAAAAATGGTGCTTATACTTGTAATTTTTCTTTAAGGCTCGAACTAAGGGTGCCGTTCTTGGACTTGCGCTTCACACAATATTATCTCAGTCTGCCCAAAGGAATGCGTCAGCCATACAACCAAATCGAAAAGTATTTGCTACGTTCGGCTTTTGACGGCACAGGACTTTTGCCAAATGAAGTTCTGTGGCGACACAAAGAAGCATTTAGGTATGATATTGATGACAATTGTTAACGTGAATGCGAATTAAACGCGAAAAATCGAGTTTAACGTAACACAAATAATCGATTTGACCAAGTTGGCTCGAGTGTAAATTCCCTCGGTCTATATTGGAGAAATGGCCACCATCATAACAAACTAAAGTACTCAAGTTTGATTTTACAGTGACGGTGTGACGACGGTGAAAAAATCGCTTTTCAACATCATTCAAGAGTGGATAGATCCAAAATACACGGAAGAAGATTTGCAAAAAGCCTCTGAAAAGTATCCACATTGCCCGCCAAATTCTAAAGAATCTCTGTACTACCGGTAAGTTGACCGTAAATCTTCCAAATTTCAATAGCTATAAGCCACTTGTAAAAAACTAAATAATAATTATTATCTTTTGATTGATGATTACTAGCGATATGTTTGAAAACGACTACACTGGACTGGCCTCCAACTTTATGCCTTACTATTGGATGCCAAAGTGGACTACAGTAAAAGATCCATCGGCGAGATTCATCAACCATTACGCAGCCAAGTAACCTTCAAATACAGCTCGAAATGTGCATATTTTAATCATGTTAGTCATGTGTTCAATTATACAAATTCACGTGAAAATGTTTAATTAGTTTTAAAAGTGCTTTATAATATATGTAATTGTTATGTATAACACGATAGTGATAATTTATATAACAATAATTTCTTATGCAATTAAGAATATTTATAATGTATGTAAATACATTATTAATATATGTCCAAGGTATTTAAAAGTTGATCCTTTTAAATACTATACAAACCACAGTTACCAAATTATTTGAGTACCCCACATAGAGATTATAATTTATATCACTAAATATTATATATTTTAGTATTAAGATAAGGGTTATTAAAATGAAATTGGTTTGATAATATTTAATAGTTCACGAATAAACGATTTAGTTGAAATTTAAACAAATTGTATTATTTTAGTATTAAGAAAAGGTTATCAAAATGAAATTGGTTTGATAATATTTAATAGTTCACGAATAAACGATTTAGTTGAAATTTAAACAAATTATATTGTTTTAGTATTAAGAAAAGGGTTATTAAAATGAAATTGGTTTGATAATATTTAATAGTTCACGAATAAACGATTTAGTTGAAATTTGAACAAATAAGTAATTTTTTTCTTATGTTCTTATTGTAATATTCAGTTTTGTTTTTGTGAGTTTTCATAAATAACCCAGACAGCCCATAATTGTATACATTTGTTATTGTTTTAAAAATATTTTGTACATTATATCAATTTTGTTTATTTTGTGGCCATGAAATGACTATAACATTTTTAAATGTTAACAGTTAGAGTCATAGTGAGGTCTTTTGGGTCATAGGACAATTTAACATTCGGGGGCCCACGAAGGAAAAAACATGTCACCATTCCCCCCCTTTCAAAGTAGAGTTGAGTAAACTTTCTACTAAACTACAAAACAATACTAATACACCATCGAAGAAAATAGACTGTTAAAAGAAAATTAGAACTATACTTTTTTTTATTTTTTATTTTTTTATTTAGAATTTGTACAATCTGTAATAAATGTAATTACAATAAGAACAAAGGATAAATTACATGGTAGGCAAATATATAATAATATATTGATACAGTAGACTTGTTAGAAGAGGCCAGCCAGAGCTGGTACTTCATGACGTGTGAGATCGTGGATTAGTCAACCAATAGATCGCGACACCACGTTCGCTTTAGGCGCCTTCTGGGGTCACCAGGGATTGTGTGCACGGATAGTTCCGAGATCAGGGGGTTTTTATGGCTAAAGGTTTTGGAGTGTAGGCGTTTGTAGAAGGTTTTGGCAGAGTTAAGGACTGTTGGGACGGAGAGATCTTTGTGGAGGGTATCATTGGAGACGTAAAATGGGGCTTTTGTTAATAGACGGAGACATTTATTTTGAAATGTTTGTATTTTATAGATATTGGATGGTTTGGCAGCTCCCCATAGCTGGATGCCATTGGTCCAAATGGGTTTGAGGAGTAGTTTGTAAATTAAAAGTTTGTTTTGGAGGTTGAGGTGTTTTGTTGTTAGAAGGAAGCGTAATTGACGGAGGCGGTTGTTTAAGACGAGACGCTTAGCGTGGATATGAGTTGCCCAAGTAAGACGCCGGTCTAGGTGTAAACCCAGGTATCGAACATTTTGAGCGGTTGGAAGGGGTATGTTATTGAGATAAATATGAGGGCAGTCTGTTTGTTTTAAAGTGAATGTGCAGTGGATGGATTTAGTCTCGTTGATTTTTATCCCCCAATCTTTATACCATGTTGATAATAGATTTAGGTGATTTTGGATGAAGTTTGACGCCGTTACAGGATCGGCGTGGAGAGAACTATACTTAGTACAATATTATATAATATATTATACATTATATAGATCGTCACTTAAATTGAATAAGTGATTGTTTAATAAAAAAATATAAATGACATTTTTATAAACAGTGGTCAGTGAATATATAAATAGATTACAAAGTTAGAAAAAAAACATTTAGGCCGTAACAAAACAAATAAAAATTGTTTTTGTTGATTATAATTGATGTATTGTACTTAAGTAATAAAATTGTAAATTAAAAGCAAGGTCAAGTGCGTAACGCAGTACTGAAAGATGCTCATTGACCGGAGTTCAAAACTATTTAATCTGAAAACTTTTTGTTTTTTTTTCTTTTCTTTCATGTTTTTTTTTGTTTGATTAAATTTAAATAATTTACAACTACATATAATTGATATTTAAAAAAAAAGAAGTATAGACTAAAATAGATATATTTATATATTTAGGTCGTAACGTAAAATAAATAAATTGGAGTTTGATTCCGATTTCCAATTCACCCAAAAAAAAAAAAACTTTTGTAACATTTAAGCTATGCCTACTTATAGGTAGAAGTATAAACTGTTATATTATTTTTAATGTATACCTTAAAAAACCCTAGTCAATTTTTATTATATAAATTGTTGAAACAAAATAATGATCCTATTATTAGATGTATTAAATTTAATAAGAAACAAAATAGTCTTAAAAACATATGCATCGCCACTGTATACAAATCACGTCATATATTCGACATCAAATCACAATGTTCAAACACTGTTCAAATTCAGTCACAAATTAGATTGAAGGAAGATCTAAAGTGGGGCATATAAAAATTTGTCGTCAAATAAAGGACAACCCAAAAAATAGAAATTGTCCTTTTATCAAAAATAAAAGATAGTAAAAATATATTTATTTATGCAGCATAGCCGTAAATGTTCTAATTTTCTCGATTCGTGTTCTTTATTTTAAATTTTTTTGTCTTCTACCCGTTGATATTATAGTGTTAAGCATTGTTGTATACTGATTTCTGTGATATCTATTAGGGGCGAGACACGTCAGTACCGATAACCTCCACCCGTTTTCCATTAATTATTACCTCTGGCGTACTACGGCCCACGCCCGACAGAATGAGACCCAGTATTTGACACAAAGTAAGTAATCTATGATTTTATATGGTCATTGGTCTCGTATTAATTTTTATGTTGTAATAATATTTACTAGATTAATCCGCTACGCAGCGTGCCAGGTACCGCGGTTCTCGAGCGACCACCAGCAACTAACGTTATCGACTGACGGCTATCGACTATTGAGTATTGACCATTTTAAGAATACGATAACAAAATTGAAAAAAATTAGATTTTAAAATCCCAATACTATCATAGATTAAATACATATGTACTTAATCTATGATACTATATTGTAAAAAAATATTATTTAAATTAAATAAACCCAAATTATTTGTCTATATTCTAAGTGGGTAGTATTGTCTCATTGTTTTTCATGACGCTCCGCCCATGTAATCTGTAGACACTAGACTGTATATCTGTAACAACCGTGAATAAGTGTGTAAGTCGATTTCAGTGATTTTACAGTGGAGCGATTTTAAACTGACCAGGTGCCATAAATCAGCATGTAATAATCAGAAACTCACATCTCTCAAGGTTTTCTTGTTGGTCCAACGAGTTAGACATTTATTCAAGGTGTGCTAGGCGCTTCCAACTACATCCTAGCGTACTTGGCCAATTTTGACCAAAATTCGACTTACACACTTATTTACTGTTGTTACAGATATAATATATTATTATATTTATATTATGTCCATGATAAAATTATGCGTAGAACTGCGGCTCACGGCTGTCGTAAAGCGACATACGGCAGTTTATCCAATGCGAGGGATAATGGGGAAACGTATTCATTAGTTGAGTTACGGTAAATTGTTCCGCGGTTGTGGTCAAACTGTCCGGGTAGTTTTAACCTAAAAATATGACCAATGTATGTAAATTTGTTTGGCAATTCTATGTTTTCAATGGAGTTTTGAATTGCTTTTAGTTTAATAATTAATTATGAATTATAGGTATCAGAATCGTTGGCTGTGATATATAATTTTCGACTACCGGTTGTTAACGATGTCGTAGTGACGTACAACGCTGAACCCTCCGATTGTTGACAGAGTGTTTCATTTAAATTTATTAAACAACAAAAATGGTATCCCACGTACATAGATGGGATACCTAAATAATCATAACATTATGGTGTCGAAGCTGTAGCACAGGTAGGCCTCTGCAATCTGGCGAGCTACCCTGCCTGGACCAAACCATCGTCGGCATTATGTCGTTCGACTTTGAGGAAATCAACTCATTGCGTCATGAACTGCAAAACGTTAGGGAGGTGATGCGCCTGACCAAGTGCAACATCGAAGAACTCAACGGCACATTCGCCACCTTTGACCATCCGCCGGCAATTTATTTGACCGAGTACCGAGAGCTGACTGTTAAGCTACATGAACTAGAAGCCAAAGAACAGCAGCTACTCGACCAGGTTGACCATCCAAGGGAGCATCGCAAGACAGGCAGGGCCGATAAGCCATCTACGCCGTCTGTGCGTGTAATCAGAGCGCATTTGCCAAATAAACAACGCACCACCATCGAAGTTAAACACGGTGAAACGTTGCATTTGGCCTTAGAAAAACGCTTACAACATAGAAAAATTCCTATGAATGTCTGTGTTGTCTATAGGCATGGTACTAACCATCAAATTCCTTGGGACACGCAAACATCGGCAATTGAATATGATGAGATCCAAGTAAAAATGTGTTGGTTACCGATTCAAGCGTCATTTACTCATGATTTTTCCAAACGCACTTCGTTTACCACTTGTGATCATTGTCGACAATTATTATTTCAGGTCGGTATAAGTTTTTTTCTTCAAAATTATTGTTTATTTATATTACTTTTTGTTATTTAGGGTTATCATTGTCGTTCGTGTGGGTTTAAATTTCATGAACGTTGTTCAATGGGCGTGCCTGTGTTATGTATTCCAACCAGAGACTTAAACAACAGTAACAGTGGTAACCATACTATTTATCAAAACTCTGCAGGTATACTACAGCTATCCTCGGATTATGAATCATCGAGACGCAGAGTGCTCGTCCATGGTGAAAGATCTAGTTCTGAGCCTAACGTGTGTCGCAACATGGTAAACATGAACTGGGATGACTTGGCTGAACTAAAACGGGTACCGTCAGGGGTGCCTCAAGGTTATTTACCCCATAGCCAAAGTGCTCAAGCATCTCCAACTAATGTACTGAGAACCAGACCTCGATCGAAAAGTGATGACGAAAGTGCTACAAAAAAACGACTTCGAGACACGGGACCCCAAGAGTCTCTTGAAGATTGGGAAATACCTGAGACCGACATACAACTGGGTGATTGTATTGGATCGGGATCGTTCGGTACTGTGTACAAAGCTAACTGGCACGGTCCAGTTGCTATAAAAGCTCTTAAGGTAAAACAACCGACCGCTGCACAATTACAGGCGTTTAAAAATGAAGTATCTGTTCTTAAAAAAACAAGACACGTTAATGTGCTGTTGTTTATGGGAGTTATTCGCAAACCAAATTTAGCCATTGTCACCCAGTGGTGTGAAGGGTCGAGCCTATACCGTTGCTTGCACGTTCTAGAAAAAAAGTAAGTTAAAATTTCATAAAATTTTGTAGTTATATAAAAGTTTTAAATTGAATTACAAAAATTGTAAATATTTTTAAATAAACCGGCTAAGTGGTATAATATCTCGCTGTAAAGTTATTAATTTGCATAAGTGTTATAAATATTTAACAACCATAGTCATAAAACAAAAAAGTATACAATACAAATAATGCCTAAATAGTAATATAAATTAGTGTAATTTTAAAATTGTATTTTACAATAATTTTGTGTTTTATCAAATTTGTATTATTGGCAAACTTCCCTTAATATACTATTATTTAAAACAATAATTATAAATAACTAATTTTAAATAATATTATGATAGTTAAAAGTATGATGTTTGCTTTTGTAGCTGACATTATTTTAAGTATATCAAACAATTTTAACCAAGTTGTTTTTTGTGAAAGCGAATCATACAGTGCTTACCGTTTTAATTTGTTAAGATATTTATTTAAATCCCTTTGATTCGCTGTAATACCAAGTTTTTATTTATTTGGAAAAAAAAATATAAAAATACTATTAATCAATACTATTATTTATTATTTTACTATTAATAGGTAAAAGAATTTATAATTTTGAAAATTTAATGAGTTAGGTACATTTAAAAAAAAAAAAAAAAGTCATTTTACAAAAGTTTTATGCTACATATAATTAAAAATGGTTTGAAATGAAAAATTTAATTACTAATTTATACTTAAATAAAAAATCGCGAATTACCAAACATCTAATTTAAAATCAGTGTTGTGTAAAATGTGTTCGAGTAACTTGTTATTCCCGTTAATTGAATTATGAACAATGAAAAAAAAATGCTTGAATAATCGTTAAATCTGGCTAATTATTTGAATACAATTATATTGAATAGTCCATATCTCTGTTTAAAGTAAACCAACGTGCTTATAATCTTATGTTGTTCTAATATGATGTAAATTTTTTTTCAGATTTGAAACTATGCAGTTGATATCTATAACCGGCCAAACGGCTATAGGCATGAATTATCTACATTCAAAGAGCATTATACATAGAGATCTTAAAAGCAACAACATATTTTTCAACGACTCTGTAGTGAAAATCGGCGACTTTGGTTTAGCGACAATTAAATCGAAATGGTCTGGCGGCCAGCAATATCATCAGCCTTCTGGATCAATTTTGTGGATGGCGCCTGAAGTGATCAGAATGAAGGAGGACAATCCGTATAGCTTCCAGTCGGATGTTTATGCATACGGTGTTGTGCTGTATGAACTGCTGTCAGGTCAATTGCCGTACACAGAGATAAACAACAAGGACCAAATCTTATTTATGGTTGGCAGAGGTTCCCTGAGACCAGATCAGAAAAAAGTACGGACAGACGCGCCAGCTGAACTCCGTAAGCTGATGGAAAACTGTATAAAATTTGCCAGGGAGGATAGACCCAAATTCAAAGACATTGCCATATCCATTCAAAATATTATACATGCCATGCCAAAATTACAACGGACTACATCTGAGCCTATTTTGTGTCGGTCAAATTGGAGCGATGACTATTTGTACCCATCCGAAGCAAATAACTATAGAGGAGCTGCTGGCTTTATATAAAAAAAAAACACGCACAACTGTATAAAAAAAAAAAAAAATTATTTTTACTCTGATGATTTATTATTTCTATGTATCTATATATAAATAGTTAAACATAATTAACTAGTGGATGACGGTACATACATATATACATAAATAATATGTAAATATGTACACTAGTGTGTATGCGTATGTAAAATTTTCTTATTAGATATTGATAATTTGTTGAGTTTGGTATATAATTTACTTGAATTTTGGTTTTTAAAACAAACCAAAAACGTTTTCCCTAAATCACCTTCAATTTTCTCTAATTATATGGTGCCTACAATTTGTATGTAGTACCGGGTGATTGATTAACTATGACCCAGTCCTACGTTACCATTAAAAAACTGAAGTTCATATGGTTTTAACATAATATAAAGGATGGGGTTATATTTTTTAAAAATATATAAATTTGTCCCAACTAATAACTAAAAAAGTATATAAAAAAAAAAAAAAAATTATAATAAGTCTAATATCTTTTAAGTTATTGACATTGTGTGTGTGCATACACACACAATGCATTATGCTTTATCTATTTTTCTATTAATTACCAAGCTTTACTTGTGTTATTGGTGATAGAAGTACTCAGTTTTGTAATCCTTGTTGTCTGTTGTTAAATGATCATACATACAAAAAGTTGGCCACACTTTGTGTTGCTCGTCGAAAAAATAAGTAATGTTACAACTTTCTTATAATTGACTCGGTTAACAGAACGTTATACGGCCTCCTATTTATTAAGGAGTTGGCTATAAGCAAAAATGTTTTTATCTAAACATAGCTACGCAGGATACGTTTTACTCGGTCCATACTGATTTTGAGCAAAAACGCCTTTTACAAAATCGAAGTAAATTAATAAAAAAATTATTTTGGAGATATTGTGACATCCGATCTTAAAAAGTAATAACGTTAAAAACAAAGTCAATTATTAAAAAAAAATAAAAATGTGTGATTTTAAATGTTAAATATTAGGTTTATTAAAAAAATAATAAGACGTTTCCAAAATATTGTCATCGTCTGTTTTCTATTTGAATATTTTTAATATAAAATAATTCTGTGTGGGTAAAGTTTTAACTTTAGCAAATTGGGTGTGTGAAGTCTTCTTAAGTTAGGTACCAACCCTATATTTAAATTTGCGTTCAGATCAAGATAGTATCCCAAATATTATGTGACCATATTTATATTGGTACCAGACATTCTCGAAAAAAAAATATTCAATAAACAACTACCACAAACTAAGCTAGAAGTAAGAACTGGGCTGTTGGGGAGCTCGCTTCAAGTTTTTTCACAAAAACGTTTATCTTGTCAAGTCATACAATTATTAATTGCTCAGGAAAACAGTTTACAAGGAGCAACTGGTTAATCGCCGAAACTTTTTTTTCGATTGGAAAAACTATATTACTAATCCTTTGAGGATTATATAAGTATGCTAAATTGTATTAACATATTTTTATGTTTGTGTCAATATTTTCATAATATTAATTTTTCACTTGGGTGAATTACCTTTTTTTTACCACTTTCTAAAAGTATACTTTATTACTAAAATAATGACTAAAAGATTAAATAAATACACGAATATATTTTTTCTAAATTACAAGCATTATTATTTTGTTTTTATCAGAAACTGTACATAATATTTTATATATATAATATGTATATAACCTAAAATACAGTCACTAATTATAATAATTATGTTTATTTCATAGGCATCTAATTAACTTTAAATTGTAATTATAGTCCATGAAAAGAGTTTTCTACATTTTGGTTTAAATATTTATTATAAACTTAAATCGTATACAATAGTAATTTAATTTTTAATTATAAGTAATAGGATTAAAGGCGTTAGGGCTTAGAATAGAGAAACATGTATTTTTTCTATTATCCAAATTAGTAGTAAATTATTGAAAGAAAAAGTGGAATCTAATGCATTTTTAAGGGGGGTGGGGAGTTTAAAATTGACTCGAACAATTATTTTTTACTTCAGTCATTACGAACAATAATAATTAAAATAAATCTAATATAGGATTCTGGAAACAAAATTCTCTATTCTACTGAGTATAATACAAAAATGTATATTGTTTTTAAATTGTATATAGAAATTGCACAAGTACTAAATTTATGTAATTAAAATAATAATACAACATCTAGTCCATATAGTTTACAAGACAAAAAAAAAAATTAACATTGACAAATACTAAAGTAATATCATTAGCAGTCGAGAAATTGAATACAATACTATATTAAGAGGTAGTTATTAATTAATCGAGCCCAACAATCATGAGTTGAGGTTAAAGATTATTGGTGACGAAAATGTTTTTGTATAAGAATGAAACTGGACTTTGGATCAACTTTCTTTTACATTTAATATGAAGAAAGTAAAAAATCTGATTTTTTTTACCAAATAAAATTTGGTCATTGGAAGGGAAAACAGATAATATACTATAATAAAAGGTAATTTTAATTATTAGTATTACTATAAAAAGCGTACAAACATAGCGTAAAAAAAGAAGAGAAAATTAAGAATGAAAAAAATATATATAATCAAAAATGCACATTTCAGACAACAATAAACCTTACAAATATCGTATACATTATAATGTTATTATCTTCCTTTTTTTTGTTAAAGAAAGTAATAGTAATTTTGTTTTAAATGTTTTTTACGGGTTACAATTTTTTTAGTCATGGTGGCTTAAAAAATACACTACCTTAAAATTTGTTTAATACAATTAAAAATACTAAATAATTTGTCTTTAACAAAAATCAATGTAAAATTATTAATTTCCAAGATTTTCAATGAATCATTATTTTCTTTTAATATCAACATATTATATTAAATACGAAAAAAAAAAATTAAAATATTACCGTGTGTATATCGTATACTTGGGTGAAAAAAGGAGAAAAACACTGAACATGATTGTACTCGATTTTGATGTATGTGTTGATTTTCCTTTGAGATCACAGATAGTAGAAAAAACGTGAGTGTAAACATAATCAACAACAATAATAAGTAATATTTTATTATTATTATTTTTTCTATATAAATTACTAAATAAATCTGGTGATGTGCACAATATACGTATACCAAAGTTTCAATAATGAACGATTAACGTTCAAAGCTCAATTTAATCAAATTTTTTTTTTTTATCAATACACAATATTATATTATAATTACACAATAATAAGATACTAAAATATAGTTTCGTATATACCGAATGAGAAATTCAGTAATATGGTAATCTCAAAATAGGCTAAAATCAATTATATATTATAAACATACATTACAATACTCCTTACACGTGTGGATGTTTTTTTTTGGCGCCGAGGATTCAGAAAACCCGACATATGCCAAAGTCCTAAGTCTTTCGCTTTCGTTATTACAGTAGATCCATAATATAATAATATAATCGTTATTAGTTAAAACGAGACGGTATGTGCTGGCGCCGTTTATATAATAATTTACATAAGAGAACATTCAAACACACAAACACAAACATTGTAATAACCGGCAAATTGGCCGACGCAAGTATTATTGTAGTTATGCTTCGATCGAATACGTACGCCTTAAAATTAAGTTAAGCAATGTATATATATATTAATATATAATATTTATATATAAAAAATGAACAAATTTAGTTATTAATAAGACGAAAAAAAAATTACACATGAACAAAAAAAAAAAAGTTGTTAAAAATGTGCTTAAGACATTTTAGGGCGTTTTATGTCAACGTCATCAGACGAGTCTTCACTATCGTCGTGCATGCCGTGGGCCTGGTATTCGTGACTGGAATTCCATCCGGTAGACGGCGAACCAGAGTTTTTGGGCATCGCCTGCAACACATAGGTAATGATTACAACACGTCATGTTTAACACCAGTGGTACACAATAATTGAAATGTTATGATCGACAGCAACATCCTATATACTAGATACGAATATATACATAAATATAAACATAGATAGGTATAGATACATATAAGTTAGGAACGAGACGAGGACGGTAAGTAAAATAGTACCCAAAGACTGGTTTTAATGTCCCATAAGTATGTATCGTTTTTACGACTGACACCGCGTAATACCACAATTCTGGTTCTGTCACACCTCAAACTGATCATAACATATTAAGGTTACTGTTTTCTCCCCCCCAACAGACTCGGCGCAATTTGCATTTAATTTTGGAGAAAACTAAATATTGCTTTATCGGATTTATCCAATAAACCTAAATGCTAATAACACCACGGTGATTTTGTTTTTTTAATTGCCTCCCAAGTTTTTAACCACTCACAAAACAAAAATCAGTTCTCTACTTTTTTGTGTACATAAAAAAAAAATCATTATCTGGAAAGCGTTCTGAAAAATTACACACGCTGAAAATAACACAAAGTTACGTTTTTTACAAGTTTGAAGGCCATTTATAAAATAACGAGGCGCCAGAGAAATTTGAAGACCACATTAGCGGTTTCAGCCGATTTATGGTTGTGAAAAAAAAAGACATAGGGTTCAATTTTGCTGTACGGTGTACCTAATCTCATACATGCAAAGGACGACAAGGAAGAAACAGCGATCGAACGGATCTACTGTTTCATATTATACATATATTCACCATCATCATTATCGTTTTCATATTAACCTGTTATTCACAGTCGCTCACCTGGTGTCCCATCGGATCGTATCCAAGGCTTCCGTCGGAATACTGCGCCTGTTAAAAACAAAATAAAAATTATTATTCCGGTTGACGAGACAAAATTTGTTACGGAAAAAAAATAAGTGTCTATTATCACAAAGGAACTTTGAGTAAGCTCAAAAGAAAAATACCAACCTGCGATCCGGACATGGGAGAACTGTATTCGGCGCCGTTTAGACTCAGGCTGTAGCCCATGCTGTCTTGGGGACCGCCTCCGGGCGCGGGTGACAACAGGGGAGTCGGCGTTCCCTGCGAGGCCGGGCCCATGCTGTAAGGCGAAGCACCTGTGCACAACAAAAACAAACAGCGGTAAAACTTAGTCAATCAACTAATGTACGTTTTATGGAGACGAAAACTTTCGCTGTGGCACAGTATATACACCACATACGCGCCGGAAATAGCATCTACTAGTCCGGTCGTAAATCTCCAGGAGAATAATTTTTGGGTAGTCTACTTGAAATAATAACATAGTAAAATTGCAATTTTTCAACGTCTAATGGAATCGGCAACATCCCATTATTGTACGGCAAAAAAAAAACCCAAACAAGACCGAAAAAATAAAAAACCTCAGTGTTAAATAAAATTAATACTAATTATATAATATAGAAGCCCTCAGATACTCTAACAGGCATCCCCCGGCATACCTACACGGGGAGCTGTCCTTAAACCGTTGCTCGAGCTTCGTATGAAAAAAAAAAATATTTAACAATATAATATTCATAGTATATGGTTGTCGCTTTAAAAATGCTGTTACCGACTTGGGCACCTACAACTAAACCGCTGACATATATATTTGTATTATTATAAGGGGGAAAAAGAGTAAAAAGTATTTTTTTTTTTTTTTGGAAATGTCAATAAAATTTGACAGCAACGGCGACCGCACGATATACTTTATACGTGAACGTGTGTGTCTGTATATATAACAATGTTGGCGAGAAAGAAGAGGAGAATGATTTATACACGAAACCCATTAAACCCGCATAATTGGGTGTACCCACGACGACGATGAGAAAATAACAACGTCGATTAAATTACACGCTCACGTTTTCCGGGTAAAAAACAAAGTAAATGTACCAAAACGTTTAATCACGGTTTACACACGTCTCCTCCCTCCTCCTATCACGCTCATCCGTTTCCTCGTCCACGGTAGTATTGTTGTTATTATTTTACATACGATCATGTGCCTTAAGAAATACGCTATGTTTTAAACGTAAAAGAAAAAGAGAGCTGGTTTAATACTATTTTTTTTTTACCTCGATCCCATAACGAATTGAAAAATCGAAAAACAGCTTCGCGTCGTAGCTAAAACGCGACATTAAAAAAAAAACTAGCGCAATAGGGAGACGGAGCTGTGGGAGACGGAGAGGTTATAGGTCTTGGGAAATTATTATGAATGAAAATTATTGGTTTAACCACTTTGAAATAAAAGATTTGATAAGAAACTGTAGATGGTAAAAACTAATTAAAAAAAATAATTTTTTTTCTTTGACGTTTTGTAAATAAATGTGTTTCTAATCGAAAAAGTCACGCTATATGGGTTTTCGGGATTTCTCAATAAAAAAAAAATGCGATTACAGATTTTTAAAAATGTAAAAGAAAAAGGTAACGTATATATGAGTGATTAACTTTTTAAATTTAAACACAATGTAGTGAAAATGTTGACTGGTAGATTGAAGAAATTATAATACAGTTTAAAAACCAAAAATTGTTATTGGAGAAAAAAGATATCTGCAAAGTACTATTATTTACGAACAATAATGTGGAAACAATGTTTTCTCGATTATGGATAAATTATTTACAATTTTGGTCTTGTATGTTTTGGGTGCGATTTCCGATATAAGCACTACATGTCGAATTCGGTCTGGCGAGGCCGTTAAAAAGTTATCTTGAGTCCAGACACAAAAATGAAGGAAATCGACGGAAAAACAGTACATTTCTTTAAAAAATATTAATTAATATAACTAAACCATATTTTTTATCTTACGTATCCTCTTGTTACTATTGGCAAGTGAGATACACTCGCTTATATGGCGGCAAACGAAAAAAAAAGAAAATTGTACATAGAAAACGGCGGTGTGCACACGCGCAACTAGAAGGGAAAATGTCTCGAAATGTTTGCAGCAAGTGTGTGTGTGTATATGTGTATTGGATGGCAGTGTTGGTGGATATATGCGGCAAATGGGGTAGAGGATGTACAGGGTGTAAGTGTGGAGTGCGGAGGCGAGGGTAAAACGTGGAGAGGGACTACAAACATATAACAGGACAATGAGGAAACCAGGAAAAACCATTCGGGCTGTCAAGCTCAAAGCCAGGGTCCCTGTGATATATTACTTCCATTTGGAGCTTACTCCCCCAGCGCCTACGCTGCCACCGCTCGCATATATATCGCTATACAAATCCCTATAGTAAACTTCACCCCTTTTCCTATTTACATGTTTTGTTTTTCTCTTTGTTTTTAAACACCAATAGTAACATAAGAGCGGACCTAACGCCGCAGCCGCGACTGTCCGCATGCAACAAAACACCAATATCGGCAATAACAAAATTCCGGCGGTTATTATTAAATACAGGAGGCTCAGTAAATTGTTTTTCAGAAGTTTATTTATTCTTTTAAATAATCCACGTGAACGTCAAACGAACGGAAAAACTACTCACCGGCGGCTTTTTTAGCGGCGTATAAGTTGGCTTCTTCTTGCGCTTTTCCAATGTTCTTTTTGTACCGAATCCGCTTGTTGCCGAACCAATTGGACACCTGTACGCGAATTCAACATAACATTAATAATACCACAATAATATGAATTTTTTGCAATAATCTACATTTAGATCAAATAGATTATAGATGTGTATCTAAATAAATAATATTTTTTGAACAAGTTATGAAAAAGTCAAACCTGTATGAGAAAATTAATGAAATTCAACAGTTCTATACATTTTCTAGTTCAGTATTGTGTTAAAACTTTTTTATTTTTGTACTACATTTTTATTATCGACTTCCGAGGACGTCACACACCATGTTTATTATGAGGAATATCTAGTATCATTGATTTTAGAATCAATGATACTAGAATTATTCTAAAACCAATGCTAGTATGTACAGTTTTTTTAGTAAAACTTGATATTCAACTATAATTTTAGAAGTTCTATAATATTAATATACATCTACTCTAAAAAAGTACATTTACACATATTTATAGAATGAGACTCATTCTGGATTATGATAATGACAACTTTTAAAAAAATTAGAAACTGTGTTGTACACTTTAACACAAGTCTACAGTTGACAGATATAAATGTAGATTGTAGACAAAAAAAAATGTTTAATTTTTAAAACATAGTTTTTAACTATATAATAAACCTATGTAAGTATACAACTCTGCCTCATAGGATCACTCACCTGAGACACGGTTATGCTACACTTCCTCGCCAGTTCTTCCTTGGCCTCTTCGGACGGGTACGGATTGCTTAGGTGTGAATAAAAATACTCGTTTAATATTTCGGAAGCCTGTTTGCTAAAGTTGCGCCTTTTCCGTCTGCGAAAACATAATTAACCAAAAACATTAATACCCAACGGACAAACACTCGTCTTTCGTCGGTCAAGTTTAAAGAGAACTCAAAGTATATGAAACATTTCATTATTCATAAATCATGACTAAAAGTTAAATTTTCAAACATGAATAATTTTATTCGTAAATAATAATTAAATGATAAAAAATGTAACTCTTACGCACGATGAAAATCGTTTATCATCAAATTAGCTTTAGCTTTTAACAGAAATATTTCTTAACACTGGTTATCGTCTATAACTTATTGGACTTATAAAATATACGATTGAAGAAATTGGTAGTATTCACGAGTACCTACTGAATTCAAAGCAAATAAATAATAAATTACTTAGTCCTAAACTAAAAAATGTTTTAAAAATAAGTACAATTGTGTTCGAATAATTTCAGTGATAGATAACGAATAAAGTATTCCTCTTTAAAAATGGGATTAATAATGGGAATATTTGATAATAATTAATAGTCTTAGTCGCTAAGTTTTTCTCTACATTGCGCAATGTTTCAAATTCGGAGTAATTTTTCCTTATTCAAAAATTATACAGGAAGATATTTTTAATGATTTCCAAATGATATGAATTCGTTACAAATTCGAATTACTGCGTAGCGTAGGGTTGAATAAAATTGCACTTAAACAATACCCAACTCTGCCCCCTCCCCTCTCCTTCTTTTTCTATTTCGTCGCACCGTTGCGTTATCCTTGAAAGCTATACGACTATGATTGCTCTTACCTGGCGTCCAAAAATCTAGATCTGAGTATCATAACCGCCTCGCACGTGCTCTGCTTCAGCTGCATTTGTATGGAAGAGAATTTTTTATGAATTATCTGCACCATCCGTTCGATCTCTTTGGGAGTGATCGGCCGCGTCCTGGACTGTTCCCGTAACAGATTCATAACGTGGGTAGTGAATTCGTTGCAGGCCTATACAGGGCAAAAACACAAATGAACACGAGATGAGTGAATTGTAATATATATATATATATATATATATACGACATAGGTCGAAGTAGAAAATGAATTAATAATAATACAATCACATAACGCGTTATTGATAAATAGAGGCGTTTCCCGTCGGTTGCGGTTTTTGTTTTAAACTCGATCTCGACTCAAGACCGTCGATATTATTACATACATTGGCGTAAACCACAAATTACGGTATTATATTTTATACATATATATTTTCTTAAATACACTATCCGGCAATGGTATCGTCTGTTACCACATACTGAATTATGTCTATTGTGTAGTAATGTAGCCGCACACAATTATTACATCCGTATAGAGATATCAGAAGTTAAAAAAAAAAAAAAGGAACGCTATTAATCATTGTTTTTTTTTCGCGGGCGAACGTGTTTGATGATGGTACAAAAATCCGACACAACTCACAGTATATATTATAATATATATATATATATATATAAAAGGATATTTATCATATACGTATGTACATTTTTTTTTATATTTGTTAATGCCGAACATATCAACAGGTTCAAGGAGATCGACTCCGATTATTGCACGCATAATATTATCCTATCTATATTTAGTTATCGAATGTACTACCTATACTATACTACCTATAAGATAATTGTGTAAGTATGTATAGATTTGAACGCGAGGCCAATGTCTTCTTGTGTAGTACGACCGTGTGCGTGTACCGATCGACGAAAGGAACAATATATATATATATACATATAAAAAAACGATTTCAAAACACCACCGCCGCCGCCGTCATTATAATAATGATAAGAGAAAGCATATTATTTTAAACCGAGATTGAAGAGAGACAAGGATGGCTAGGAGAGCGAGTACGACTTTATATATATTTTATACTATATTATAATAATAATAATGTTTTAATGTGGCGAATGAATAACTCTTGTGCGAGAACAAAAATCGCAATCGTCGTCGCCATTGTATGTGTAACCGACAATAACAACAATTGAACAAAACGGAATGGAAAAAAAAAAAATCGAAAACGATTGCGTGCAGATCTGGTCGTTAGTCCTATTAATTTCAGGAATATCAAAGCGGGTGTATCCCGTTCTCGTCCTGCCATCGACCGCCTGCCTACCTAACACAACTGCTGCACTTCAGTTGTACCCGTCAAAGAGTCCTCGACGTACAACGATTCGTACGGTTCGGTTAATAACAATAATAACGATAATGATGATAATAACATAATTACGATAGCCGTAATAGCGGCCACGGACAACAAGAATCCTAGTCGAAAATTATAGTAATTTTATTTTTCAAAACTTATTAACAAAATAAACACACGCGCGGTCGTACGTGCACTCCACCCCCTATCTATATTATTGTTATAAATAATAATAATAATATGTTATTATATAAAACGGGGGCAGTCCGTCTGGAAATGGGAATTTTCCGCATGGCTTGGATCGTATTATTTCGGCCTGTGATGGCCATATAAATCGTATACTCTGTTAACAGAGTATAATGAAATCTGCCATCGACGGTTGCCAAGAAAACTTTTGAGTATGCAATTTTCGTTAAAGGCGAACTGAAATCGGAATGATCGTATGTTCATCTTCGAAAAGTTATTGTTGACAACGAATTTCATATTTTCATTGAAGTTTATAAAACTCATAGAAAATAGCGAAAACTTGCGTGTTTCTCAGTTTTTTAAATACTTGTAGCACAAAATCTAACACCAATTTAGAAGTTTCAAAATACAAAACAAGTAACAATTTACAAGAAAGAAAATCGACTTATACAATGATTATTTTGATAAATTGAACAGATTATCTAATAAAACCACGACTTTTAACCAAACGCACCATGTTTACTTAAAAACGGGGCAAAAAATTAATTTTTCTATTTTGTTGTAAAATGTACATTTTTCATAAATATTTAAACACATTGGAGTTATTATACTGCAGAACAGACTACTTAATATGTACTTTAAAAATTATGCAAAAAAGGTTTTAATTCCCCTACAACTGTAATGCTATGATACAATTATGTTTTCAAAAGGTACTATTTTCGAATTTAAGCTTTTAGTTTAGAAAAAGATCTTTTGCTAAAACAAGTTTTTTAAGCTTTAAAAATAAAACCACAATTTAATGGTTAAACAATTGAACTACTAAACAACATAAACTTTTTTTTTTAAGAACTTGTAACGTCTATTTTATTTCAGTCTTTACTTCACTTTATTAAGAACAATCCTTTTGCATTGAAACCTCATAAATATAACTTTAAATTTAAAAAAAAAATGCTTCTATTAAAAATGTAATTTGAATTCCTAAAATGATTAATAAACTAGTTAATCTATCTATCTATGTATATAAAGATGAATGTATGTTTGTTTGTCCTTTATGCATTAGTCCATTCATCCGATCGCCATGAAACTTTAGGAAGTTGTTGAGTATACTCCCACGAAGGTAACTGGCATAGTACTTTTCGAAAATTCCACCCCTAAGGGTGGCCTCAAACACGAATTTTGTACTTTAAATACGAATAATTTTACGTTCTTAACCCAAAATAAACTCTTAGTTTGTAACCATGGTAACCACGGTACTCGAGCGAATGGTAGGTGATGATTAAAGGAACAGGCTGATTTTACGTACCACGATTTTGAGGACGCTTTTCACGATTGGAACTGGATCTGGAACTGAGGCGGGGATCAGGACTGGGATCCTTGAGTAAGAGGGGGACATAATCAATATAATGTAATGTAAAAAAGCCGAGACGGGGTATACTAAAGCTTTACAGCCAGCAGTACTGACTTTTTTTTTATCTTATTTGTAATTATTTTACTCAGCACTAAATACTTTACTTAGCAAACTAAATATCGGGAAACGCCGGGTCGGGACAGCTTGTAGGTTAATAAAATTAAAAAAAGTATTTATTAAAAGAACCTTTTACTAAGCAGTTAGAAAGACATTCTACTTATCTAGATCCATATCTTTTTATTAAGAATCATACATTCATTATTAATATAGTATGTTGATAAAATAATCATTTTTTAATTGGCGAGTATTTTTAACTTCAACCCTAAACTAAGATGTTACAAATTTTACTGCGTTAAACTAAAAAATTGTAAGTTCAGATCTAATGAACCAAACGTTCTGAGTGGCCTCAGATCTAATGAACCAAACGTTCTGAGTGGCCTGAATGAAGTGTAATTATTTCCTGCTCTAAACTTAAGTGTCACTCCACTTTTGGCGGCGATCGAATATTCCATCGAATATTTCAACGCAACTAAATAAACAGGCACGATCGTTAGATCTTTGCGTATTTGCACACTTGCTCTAATTAAGATGTTTTAATGAGAAATTAGCAGATAATACATATTTTTTCAAGTCTATGGAAGAATTATCCTGCGCAGTATTATCTAGCAACCGTGTCTGTTTGCGATGTAGCGATGTGTACAAATACACACTGGTGTATAATATTATGTAGGTATATATTATAAATAGTCATATCTTAAAAAAGGTAGTCGGAACGAACACAGAAAAAGTAACAAGTACAATACGGCGGCGTTCCGGGAAGACACGACCATTTCACAGCCGTCAATCAAAGTACGGTCGTTTTGCACTCGGATGCGTGTCAAAAGATCTACTAGTCTCTTCTCTCTTATCCTCTCTCTCACACACACATTTTAAGTCTCCTCACAAGTTTTCCATCCAATTTATCCCAACAAACAACAATCTTTACTCGTCGTCATCATAACCCGACGGCTCGTTGTAACCGATTAAACACCGTCGCAACTAAAAGATAAAACAACGTGTGTATAATATGTGAATGAGTAATAATCGACTTCGGTTTTGAAAAATTCCATGTTATTTATTTATTTATTAGTTTTATTATTATTAGTATTTTTTTTATCAATGCCATAATTTTTCGCCTTGTAATTCTTTGTCGGTAATTTATGGGTTTTTTATAGCCCTTTTAATGTGCCGTGGCACGCGCACTCCCGCCGTACGCGTTTATACACAGACAGCATATATGTATACATTGTATATACATACATACTTAACAACGTTTACCGGCGAACACGGACAGAGACTAAATGAGAATATCAAGAAATGCTCATGGGAACGAGAAGTAGATATCGTAAAAGCATTTCGGTACACAAGTTCTCTTCTCCTTTACTTTTTCTCGGTACTAATACTTCATATTATATTATAGTAGTGGTAATGCATTACAAATAATTTTATTATTATTACTATTATTACATTTCATCAACAAGAACGCCGGACGAAGATTTCTTGTACGGTGTCGGATTGTAAAAAATATAATAGTAATCGATTAAAGCGAAGAAAGAGAGAAGAGCGCTAGAGAGATAATAAAAGGAGAGGCTTAAACCTATCAATGTTAAGCACCGAGTCCGATGTAATGATTATTCGAAAACGTATTTTAAAAACAATACAGACGAGAGGAGGAACGTAATAATAATTATCGACTTCCCACGCGTCTTTTTACCGCCGCCGCTCTAGGTCAATAATAAAAATAATAATAATATTCAATAAGGTTATTATAATATACATACATATATCATATATTAATATAAAATAAAAAAAACCATGAGACGTGTATAACGAATATGACTACAGAGAATATACTAGATAAGTACAGCAATCGTTAAAGCGTTAGCATAGCGTACAATGTACATACCTATTACCTAGTACAAATGCTTTTGCAACTATTTAGTAAGACAAATTTTATTTATCTTTAGTTAAAACTATACAACTAATTATAAATCGTAGAGTGACTGAATATAATATTAAAAACTTTTTTGAGGAAAGCAAAAAAATAGGAGAGGAGTAGCATTAAATACCATCACAAAAACAGTTAGTAAATTTTTAGAGCTTAAACAAAAAAAAAATCCACTGGACATTTTTGGATTTGGATTTTTTGTTGCCCACTGAATATGACAACTTGCAACAACCGTAAAACTATTTTTACCATTACAAAATATCTCACTAACACTTTATTTTGTTCTGCCATGTACCTCAAAGAATGTTTTAAAATTTTAATAGCAGTTTTTTAAACCGTGCAAAAAAATCAAATAACTGACTCAGGTTTTTGCATGTAAAATTATTTATGTTTATAATTCATAACTTTTTACCATCCGAAGTTTCGCATCAGGGTTTTATAAGTGATTTTATCATTATCAGACTGCAGTTTTCATTAGTGATCTTGCCGTTAGCTATTATAGTAGTCGAGATAACTTCAAGGTTGTAAGACCCATCCTGATGGTTTTTTTTTAGTTTCTCCTATTTGTATGGTGTATTAATTACATAAAGTATGTTACCTGTTCGTATTTCTCCAGTTCTTGGTGATAGATCTGCCTGATCTGCGCTAGTTTTGCTCTATAATCAGAATGCTCGATGGCGTTGTCTGGTTGTCCGGGACCGCCCGAAGCCGCAGCCGATGCACTGGCAGCAGCTCCCGCGCCGCCTCCCTTTTCTGGTCCCGCCACACCTTCGGCGATTAACATATTGTCTAACCTCATCAACTGTGGATCCGGCGGCTCTTCTTCTTGTGTATTCCGCAGACTCAAAACTGCAACAAAACGTCGAAACGACAATATTAATAATAATAATGATTAAATAATATCACAAGTATATACGTTATACTCGAAATTCATGATTCGCGCTCTTAAGATGGAGGAGCACACGCGAATAATATTTATTTATACGGATGAACAGCTATAATAGGTAAATTTCAATATCCGGGAAATGATGCGACAACCACGAAGATAAACAGAAATTTTGCATTGATTGCATTTTGTTCATATTTAAAATAATTGACTAAAAATTTTGTTCAAGTTTATTCTATTTATACGGATTTAAGAAAGGTATTCGACTATATGAATCATGACTTGTAAACTTAGTAATATGGGAATAAAGGATCCATTGTTAACCTGATTAAGATCGTTTTTAAGTAACAGAACAAAACAAGTTAAGATTGTCTCCCACGTTTCGTAGGTTATTCATGTTACTCCTGAAGTGCCACAGGGTGGTCATTTGTCGCCAATTATATTTTTATTGTATTTTAATGATATCCAAAATGTTTTCAAATATTGTAAGTGCCTGTTATATGCGGACGATTTAAAGTTTTATTAAAGCATTAGCCTCAGTAGACGATTGTGTAGAACTACGAAATTGTTAATTTTGGTGTTTGGATTATGTACCGTCGATAGAGAAAAAAAGCTCTTGTCAGCTGGCCTAGAGATAAATACAATTTTTTTTAAAAGTATCCCAAGTTATCCCGTTTTAAACTAGATATGACGTCCATCTAAATTATTAACAGCTTATGACGACAAATCGCAGAGTAGAGCTCATCTTTATAAAAATCAAAATCTAAACACCGGCATGCGGCCAACCACTAATGGAAAAGACTTTGTCTATTTTACAAAATAAAAACATACCTCTGGACCTCGTCCAAATGTCAATCTAAAATTGAATATCACCATACTCGAGTTACACGAAATGATAATATTTTAAATGTAAAATATATATTTATATTTTCTTACTATATCTATGTTGTCAGTCCCGCTATATCATCGGCAAACACGGCCAAAATTGTTTTAAGAAAAATCCGAGCTCCTAAATCCGACGATAGCCAAATACCATTTTTCGCCCTTTTATGTAAAAACAACACAAGCATGTGTCTACTCTTACATGTTTTTGTAAACAATAGAATATAAATATTAAATATAAGCAAAACTATATTCTTAATGATACATAACAATAATATACATCGTTTACCAACAAAACTCAAACTCAAGGTTAGATTGTATTGTTACATTATAGTATATCTTTTATAATTTTACACAATAACAAGAACGCCAATATTTTGTGATACTCGAAATTCAATAAACCCAGGTTTCTTTTTAAGCCCCACAAATGTACTAATCCAAAACATGTTTTTTTGGGGTTAAGTCATACCCAAAAAAACTTGACTGAGTCGGGCTTTATTGAAAAACTCCGAACTAGTGCCAGTTTTGTTGAATAAATTATCAATATCAAATAGAATAAATTAATAATTTAAATCGCACATCATCTACTTAACACAGCAGTGTCATATTAGTCATATTAATAATATGCGATAACGATCAGGGGGGTTGAACGAAATAATAACACTAGTTACATATTTAGTGTAGTTTTAATACAAAATAAATTTAAAAAAAAAAACTGTGGCTTCGTTGAGAAATAATAAATCATAGTTGCCATTATTACAATTCTGACATAAAAAACGTTAAGATCATTCAATAGAGCACTAGTGTAATGAGATACTAACGAGTAATATATATATATACCAACACTCAATAGTATATCTTAAACACATACAGCTTTTACGGAGATACATTCAGATAAAATTGTAATTTGTGTATACTTGGTCCACGTTGTAAAATTACAATTTAGAATAATTATTATGAACCATTTATTATTTTATAATAGCCAATCGCGGCACCTTATCGGCTAGACGTCAAACGTGTTATTTAATACATAATACTTAATACACTGTTTACTTGATACTTTATACACTTATTTATACTACTTATTATTTTTCCATACAAAACAACCGTTACGAAAACGGAAGGCTTCAGTTTTTCTATTATATTGCAAATCTCTATTCATCACTATTTCTTTATTCAGTCCGCACAACAAGTCTTAGGACAAGTTATAAAAGAATATTTTTAGTTATAATAATCCGGGCGAACAAAAAAAAAAGCCAGGGCCAATTAAGTTTGTTTAGGTATACTTATACACAGTCAAACCCAACTACTTCTTCGGTCTTTTTCTTCCTCTTTTAATTTTTACGACATTTTTTCCATTATTCTTTCAACACGACAAACAAGTCTCTCTCGATTTTTAGTCATAAGTTATAATTATTCTGCTATAATCCATAACAAATGACATGTTAGAATACTTTCATAAAAATGCGAAACTATATGATTCGTAATCCCTGCCAATTTATCATACGATGAACTCGTATCGTTACGTGGTTTTAGCAAAAAATAAAAGATGTATAGAATATACGTTAGACGAATGCCTTACCACGGCGTAACCGGTTATTTTATTTTCTAGTTTAAATGCACAATATATTGAGAATAACAATTATAATACCATAATATAACAATTTAATAAATCAGTGAGCCGTACCGCATTTGTCGCGTTTTATAACGTGTTTAAAAAACCGCTTAACTACAAATCGGATAACATGACGAAAATACACTAGCATTGAAAATAAAAAAAAAACTGACTAATAGTTAATAAATCATTAGGAGTGTTAAAGCGCACGAGACATGATTATTTTCTATATACACACCAGAAGCATTTTGTACATCAGTATTATCTTATATATATATATAAAATAATATTATAGTAATTATTCACTCATGGCGAGTTTTACGTTAGTTGTAGTACTAATAGTAATAGTAATAGTAGTAGTTGTAGTAGTAATAGTGTTTTTTTTAAACTAGATCTCAAACGAGGGCCGATTTTATTACATGTATACATATATTTCATGACATCTAATAGAATAATTAATGGAATAAAATACCATAACCGTAAAACTACATAAACATTAGACTCGCTAGCAAGATAAATATACAACTGGCATGCAAGTAGTGCCTACCTCATCCCCTCTCCTATCCCGCCCAGTGTTACAACAGTGCCGGTCGGAACCACCTCTCTATGTATGTATTTAAATTATGCAATAATGCAATGCACAAACACAAACTAGCCATTGTTTACACGCCGCAATACAATTACTTTGATTACGCTATTATTTTAAATATATGTAAAAAATAAAAATAACACACAACACAACGTCTAGGGGAGTCTACTTTTTAGATCGTTATCGACGAGATTTTTCGGTGTGTGTTTCTATTACAAAAACCCGGTTCATTACATTAATTTTTTAAGACGTAGGTACACGGCACAACGAACCCTGTTTTTTTTGTTTTGTTAACAATAAACTGTACACAAAATTAAAACTACCATTATTGTAGTAGTACTGCTTATTGGCAGTAACACGAATACAATTTTAATAATTATTATTATATAACTGTATATTTCCATGTTATTAAGCTACCAGTGGAACGATAGGCAAAATTTGAATTTTAAACGTTCCGTCATTTTAAACTACTAAAAATTATTATAGCAGTCAGTTCTAAAATTCTTTCTAAACCGTTTGTCTTAACACATCACAGAAAGAGCAAACCTTGCACCTTTATAAGATAAACCGGTACACATTGAATATTTAACGATGAAACTATTTATATTTTGTCATTACTCATGACGCATTCATCAACGAAAAGCGATCCAATTATGCAATTTAAGTCAAATAACGGCCAGTAGGGTATTCTACATCGTTTAAAACCACTTCGTTTTAGTATAATGGAGACAAATTAATTCCCTCAGACTGTTATTTTTTATAATACCGATTTCGACTGCAACTAAATGAACATTATTCCTTTCTTTTTATCATTCATATTTTTTCCATTAATTTTTAACGAACATCGTTTACAGCGGCGATATCTTCGAACATAATATTATTATATGTATAATATTATATACATTACAATAACAATAATAAAGCAGATAAAAACGACAAATAAACGTGATCATCATCGTCGGATTTACAAAGAAAAATGTATAATACCGAAGAAATTAATCATTCCGACACAACAAATTATATATTTTACTATTGCCGTCACAGTTATAACAACCCTACTGGCTGTTTAATTGTTTATACCGTTGCTTTATAAAAATCGATCATATGATTTTTGACCAAGCCAACCACTAACCGAATAAGGTTAGTATAATCTTATTTATTTCAAAGTATTTAAATAATAATTTTCCTGAACTCTGTAGCTTTTTTTGTTGTATTTTGGGATACATGCTAATCTAAAATAGTGGATCCTACCAGACCAATTCTGTTTGTAAAAATCGTTTAAAAATATTATTTTGGTAATAATTAAAGTTTATAACATTTATAGTGTAGGTAATAATATATTATAACAATAATTTGTTACATGAATATATTTTTAGGCTGGGTCAAACAGTGAAAATCGACAAGAACGCAAAAACGACACCATGCTGGCGCGTCATCGATTGGCTCAAGGTTAGAATATGACGTCATCCCACCAAGGGTGTGGAAATAAGATGGTGATAAGGTGTGTAAGGGTGAGGATGGTGATAAAAAGAAATCTAAAAACTTCTGGACAACTGATAACACACAATAAATATTGGTAAATCAATGTTATTCATCAGAGACTGTTAAAAAACATATTCATGCTCAACATTTTATTTAAGCTTTAGCTAAAAATTAGTTGATGACCATAGATGTTAAAAAAAAATTACTGAGAATTCAATAATCCTAAAATAAAACAAAAATAGAAAAACGGTTCTTAACATAATTAAAATATGTTTTTAAATTTAGGTCAGTCATAAATTTCCATGTACTGACAAGTGTTGATTATGAAATATGAAAAAATTTAAAAGCTGTCTTCAAATACACACTTAACATATTTTGTTGTGTTGTGTGTGTGT